GAGGCAGCAGGCCATGGTGGGCAGTGCGTGATGGGGCAGCCTGGAGGCAGGGGCAGGAAGCGGCCCAGGCCCCATACCCTGTCCGGGTGGTGTCGCTTCCTCTGCTGTGCCCCACCTCCCCATGGCGCCAGGCTGGGGACCAGGCCTGTGTGGGATGCCTGGGGGCTGGGGCCAGGCCAGGCCAAGCCAGCACCCCTGAGCAGGTCCCTGCTGCAGTCTGAGTCTGCATGTCCGCGAGCTCTGATCGGTGCTGGGTTTGCCTGCAGTAAAGACTGCTGCTTCTTGCCTGCCATCTTGGAATTGTGGTGTAATGCTGCAGCTCACCTTTTCAACCAGTTTTGGATGTTCAGGTCCGAGGCACTCAGTACATTCGCACTGTTGGGCGACCATCCCGCTGCCCTGTCCAGAGCCCTCTTCGTCTTCCAAAGGGAAACCGCATTAAACACAGCTTGCAGCGCCCCAGCCTGCACGCAGGCCTGTGAGCTTGACATCTCGGGACCCTCAGAAGGGGCACGCGTGGATTTGCCCTTTTGGCCGATGGCACGCCCACACAGTCCCAGCTGCTGGGAGGTTGTGGCAGGAGAGCGCCTGAACCTAGGAGTTTTAGGCTGGCCTGAGCAACATAGAAAGACCTTGTTTCCAAAAGAAACCAAAGAAAAGGAAAATACAGGATTTGCCTTTTTATGCCTGGCTTAGTTCACTTAGCATCATAAGGCCCTCGAGGCTGACTCATGCTGCAGCGTGTGCCAGAATTTTCTTCCTTTTAAAGGCTGAGTAGCATTCCATGGTTTGAATGACCATATCAATATTGCTATTCTTTATTTTTAAAATTTTTATTTTATTTATTTTTTGTTTTTTGAGACAGCATCTTGGTATATACTTCAGGCTGGCCTTAAACTTACAATCTAGCCCAGCCTGGCCACAAACTCACAGCGACCCTCCTGCCCCAGCATCCTGAGCGCTGGGATTACAGGCATGCGCCAGCCAGCACGCCTGCCAGGACTTCTGTTCTTATATAGAGAAGGAAATCCATCAACCGTGGTTTGGAGTAAGTTGAGCATTTGGGGTTTTCCTTGGGAGTGACACAATGTGTCAGTCCCATGAATCCCAGCCTGTAAGTTGGCAGTTCTCCCTGCTAGGGTCCTTTCTCCTCCTCCAGGGAGGTCGCAGGCCTCTCCTGGGCGGGGCGGGCAGAGGGACGGGGGGCTGCTGGGCTGTGGCCTGGCGGTTCTCCGCTGTCTCGGTGGGGGCGAGAGTGGATCTTCCAGCTGAGCTGCAGGCGCATGGTGGGGCCTGGCCGGTCCCTTTGCCTGCTCCCGGGGCCCCTTCCGTGGCCGGGCGGCCGCGTGGGCACCGGGGCCTCCCGGGCCAGTGCTGCGGGACAGCGATCGGGCCGGGCGTCTGCTCTGTGCCCAGCCGTCCTGTGCTGCTTTCTTGACTCGTGGGACCGGCATTTGTGACGCTGGAAAGGGAAACGGCCAGGTTCCCCCCTTAGTCTCTGCTGCGCCCCAGTTTAAAGTTGGAAGCATGCGAACTGAGGGCTGTTAGGGTGCTGCGGAAACGTCCCGCTCTGCGCGCGGTGACCGTGAGGAGCTGCTTGCTTCTCCAGCTGCGGCTGCGGACGCGCCTGGTTCTCCTTTGGATTGTGTCTGCGTCTGTCCTACGTCGTGTCGCTGGCATTCAGGGTTCTCGTCTTGGGGCCCCCGCCCGCCCCGTCATTCCCTGGGTCCCCTTCATCCGGATAGTCCCCTGCCCTGAACGCTGCGGGTGCTGACGGCCATCTGGGTCCCTTTGCCTAGTGCTTGCCGGCTTAGTGACCATTTCGCCTTCACTTCCAGTCTGCCTACTTCTATTTGAGGTGAATCTCCACCATATATGGGTTGGGATTTAAACACTAAGACATTTGTAAAATTTAAATTTAATTTTATTATTTGTGTATATGTAGTAGCTGAAGATTGAACTTATAGGATTTGTACCGCTGAGCTATACGCCTCAACCCTTTTTATATTTTATTTTGAGACAGGGTCTTGCTAAGGTGCACAGGCGAGCCTTGAATCTCCAATCCTCCTGTCTCAGCTCCCAGAGTAGCTGGCACTTGGGTATGTACCGTCATGCCTGGGAGAGTTGGTTTTTATTTTTATTTTTTGGCACTGGGGATTGAACTCAGGACCTTGAGCTTTCGAGGCAGGAGGCAGCACCACTGAGCTAAATCCCCGCCGGAGAGTTGGTTTTTGTTTGTTTGTTTGGGTTTTTTTTTTCCTTTTTTTGATACCGGGGATTGAACTCAGGACCTTGCTTGTGAGGCAGGTGCCGGAACCACTGAGCTAAATCCCTGGCCCTAATTGGTGTTTTTAGATTATCCAATTAATCTTGTTGACGTGTTTGGATTTAGGTCTGTGTTCCTGCATGCCGAGTGTGTGCTCTGCCCCAGCTGCTCTCCAGCCCCTTCCCACCTTCTTCCAGGTTATTTGAACATTTCATGGTATTACATTTTAACTTTCTTTCTATTTTGCTTCATACAGCTTTGCTTTAGTAGCTGCTCTGAGGATTACAAAATATGCTTATTAGCTTTTCACAGTCTGGTGAGAAGCACAGTTTCACTAGTTCTAGTAGAATGTAGAAATCTTACCGCCATACAGGTTTGCCTCCCACTTTGTGCTCACCGACTTAGGTTTATATAGTTTACTTCTGTATAAATATTTAGGGCCGTATTTGTATGGAGCTGGGTGTCGCTCGGGAGTTGTTTTGTGCGCTGGTGTTGTACCTTTGCGTCCCTCTACCGAGCGTGTCCCTAAAGGATCGTAGGAGAAGTCCTGGCCACTTCCCCGGGTCTTGGCTTCACTTCCGGAGTTCCAGAGCTGCCCTCGGCCTCTGGCCTGTGCTGCCTCCGTCGCTTCCACCGAGCTGGTCCTTCTCTCGTGTTCAGGGCCGGTCCCGGCGGGGATGGGGTGCAGCTCAGTGCCCTGTGTGGGTTCCACGCCTGGCTGCCTGGTTTCTGAGGAGAAGCCCAGTTATTCCAACTGTTTTCCCTTGGGTTTATTTTACTTGGGATCAGGAGAGTTTCTTGTATGTGTAAACGGACGTCTCCACAGTTTGGAGTTTTCAGGAATTGCCTCTGCTCTTCTTCAGCCTTGCACAGACATTAGACCTGTTCTCTTGTCCCAAAGGTCCCTAAAGCTCTTTTTATTTTTGTTTCTGCCCTTTTTTCTCTCTGGGGTTCAGATGAGGTAGTTTGGGTTGCTTTGGCTTCAAGTTCACTGAATCTCTGCTCTCCTCTTGACCTCGGGTGAGGTGTTTTTAGATTTTCTCTGTTGTATCTTTTTTTTTTTTTTGGTATGGGGATCGAACTCAGGACCTTGCACTTGTGAGACAGGCTCAGTGCCACTGAGCTAAATCCCCTGCCCTCTCTGTTGTATCTTTAGCTCTAAAATTTCCATTTGGGTCTTCTTGGTTTTTTGTTTGTCTGTGGCTGACTTCCAGCCTTTTCATCTGCCTGGGAGGGTTACAGTTATTTATTTATAGGGTGTTTCATGGTGTTGCCTTTAGGTTGTGTAGATAATTGCAGTGTCTGTGTTGTATTGGCCTTGGGCTCCTGGGTTGTCTTTTCCTGGAGGATCTGCGATATTCCTGGATCATCGTGTGCCGAGCAGTTAGGATTGCAGCTGGACATCAGGGACCTGTGCTAGGTGATAGAGGGAACGTTGGTGTTTCTGTTCTAACAGGCAGAGGACCTGGCAGATGCAGTCCGCCTTCTGCACGATGGTCAGTGTTAGTGCCGGGTGGATCTGCCCCCTGTGCCACCCCGGCCATCCAGGCCTGGGTGTGGTCTGGTGTGAAGGGGATTGGATCACATGGTGTGGGGCGGGCTGGAAGTTCCCTTCACACAGCCCTTGGGGCTTTCCGGGTCCTTGGGGCTTCCCTCCTAGATCTCTAGCCAGTGGCCACTGTGCACTGACCAGGCCCGCCACTGTCTGACTTGAGGTTCTACTTTCAGTGTCCCTCAGCCCCCTCGCTGCTCTCCTTCCCCGGCTCCTGCCTAGCGCAGTCAGGTTGAGGCTGTCCCCAGCGCCCCATCTGCGGCCGGCCTGCTCCTCCAGTCCCGAGCTGGGTCAGAGCAGGCTCAGTGGGAGGGGCGGAGGGCTGACTGCACCCACTGGGCCACACAGTGCTCTGCTCTCGGTGTGTGAGGCCTTCCCTGAGGGCTGCCTGTCAGCTGGGCCGAGCCCTCATCTTTTCCCTGGAATCTCCGGGCACTGGGGAGGTGCTGCCCCTCCTTGGGCCTGGCTGGCGTTGTCAGACCCTCGGGAGCCCTGGGCACAGCAGCTGTGAGCGGTGGGGTGTGAGCGAGGGAGCGGACGGACGGCACAGGCAGTGCCCGTGTTCCTGCACTGTGACGCTGCCTGGCCCGCCGGCTCCTGGAGAGGCACCTCATAACTGATCCCTCTAAGAGCTTTTGGGTCCTTGTTTTGGGGCAAGGAAGGTTGAAGCCGACAAAACAGCAAGTAGCAGGGCCAAATTCTGTTTATTAGCAAGAATAAAAGAAGTGCTCTGTGCTAGTTGGAGAAGGGCATTCTGTAAGCCAGACTCTGGAAGTTCAGACTTGGGAGTCTGTAGTTCTTGGTGTGTGACTGGGGCAGGATGCTCCTGCGTCTCAGGCAGGCCTTGGCTGTCCTGAGGGCGCACTGCTTCAGTTGCATTTTACTTCCTTCAAGGTCTCTCATTTTGTTAGGGACCTGTTCTTTGCCTCTTGCTTTTCTTTAGGCCTCCTAGTCCATTTTGGTATGCTAACTCACTCGGGGCTTAGTTTACTCAGAGTTACCTAGTCTGGACCTGTGCCCTGATTAACTTCCGTATGTCCTGGTTTTAATCTGGCCCCAAGGACTGCCCGTGATTGCATCAGTGACACCCAGGGCCCTTGGGAGAAGGAGTGGGGGCGCACCTCAGAAAACCTGCTGGGCTTCCTCACCTAACAGGTGGCTTTGTGTCCTGTCCTGGCCCAGGATGGCGGCCCAGGTGACGCTGGAGGACGCGCTGTCCAATGTGGACCTCCTGGAGGAGCTGCCCCTGCCCGACCAGCAGCCCTGTATCGAGCCTCCACCATCCTCGCTGCTGTACCAGGTGGGTTCCCCGGGGGGCAGCAGCAGCGGTGGAGCACACGGCTGGTGGCTCAGACCTCACTGTGTTGGCATTTCTCTTCCATGCAGCCAAACTTCAACACTAACTTTGAAGACAGAAATGCGTTTGTCACGGGCATTGCACGCTATATTGAACAGGCGACCGTCCACTCCAGCATGGTAACGCTGCCTGGGCCTTGGTGCTCTCTGGGGTGGGCACAGAGGAATGCAGGCGCCGCTTTGGGTATTATCCTGTTGTGTAGAGCAGAAAAGGGAGAAAACGAATGGCATGCTCCCTGTGTCATTGGTTTCTTACTATAGAAGGAATATTTGCTTTTTCTGAAATTTGGTGCTATATTTTTGGCCCAGAGAAAACAGGCCAGAGTTCTGAGAGGTGCCTCTCCCAGTAGGCTCACTCTCTGCCCCCTGCACACACTGTGGCATTCTCATAGGGGAGTAGGTTTCCAAGAGAGTTGCAGTGTTGGCATAATTACATACTTTAATGAATTTGCCAACATCGCCACATGTCACGAAAGTGAGCCAGAGAAAGTAATCTGTAGTGGCAGTGTGGCCCATTTTGTTAATGTCTACAGTTGACTGTTCTTGCACTTTCACTTAGTTTCTCCTTTTGTGTAATTAACATCTTTCTAGTAGATGTGAAGTTACAGCGTTAAAGGCTGTGATTCTTTTAGAGCAGTGTAGAAACACTGCCAGAGGCAGGTGACATTTTAAAGAACATCTGTGTGATTTTTTAAAACCATTTTTTGGGAAGGAAACAGTATGAAGGAAAGAACAGGACGCGAGCGAAGTTCTCAAAGCAGTGGCAGGCCCAGGTCCTGGTTACTGTCCCTGGACTGCCCGAGCCGCACACCTGCATGGCAGCTGCTCAGGGCGCCTTGGCCTCAGGCCCCGTGGCTGTCTGGCCCCAGAGGCCGAGTGGTGTTTGTGGCAGCGTCTCAGCAGCCAGCTGTCTCGGTGTGGAGGTGTCAGGATAGTCCAGGGCACTTGCCCACGTTTCGGCCGTGGTGCTTTGCCCGGCCTCTGACTGCCCTGTGCTTTGCAGAATGAGATGCTGGAGGAGGGCCAGGAGTACGCCGTCATGCTGTACACCTGGAGGAGCTGTTCTCGAGCCATCCCGCAGGTGCCCGCCCGGCCCCGCCTCCCCCGGCCTTGGGCTGGACCGCAGCCTGTCCTTCACACTCCCTTCTTTGTCCCAGGTGAAATGTAACGAGCAGCCCAACAGAGTGGAAATTTATGAGAAGACTGTGGAGGTTCTGGAGCCTGAGGTCACAAAGCTGATGAACTTCATGTACTTTCAGGTAGAACAGCAGGCAGACCTCAGGGGTTTCGTGTTGAGTGTGTGTCAGTGGAAGCAACCACAGCAGTCTCAGAAACGGGATCGGCCGTTGCTGCCACCTCCCTTCTCCCTCCAGAGAACTCGCTTCCCTTGTGGAAGCCTGCTTTCTGGCAGTGCGAAGTACTGAGCTCCAGCTTTCTGCCGGTTTGCACTTTGAGTTTGTCTGGTTTTCTGGGTGTGTTTTTCTCTCAGCCTCACCCGACTGTCTGTTTCTGGGGGTCCCTGCCTGGCCTTGTCCTCCTGGGGCCCTTTGGCTCTTTAACGAAGTCCTTTGGAAATGCAAAAGATGTTTTAATTTCAGTTTTCCTTTAGTAAAGGAAGACGACGGAAGTGACTAAGAGATGAATTTTGTTCGATATAAAAAACTGCCAAGAGGAGAAATCCCCTCCAGTTTCTCACCTCTGAGTCACAGCATCGGTACTATAGCTTAGGGATGGCGATCCTTTTAGAGACGAGTGCCCAAAAGGCAGCCCCAGCCCCTTACTTATTGCAGAGTGCCAGCACGGCGATTAACCCTGAATGCCCAGAGCGTCGTCTAGAAAAACAGCTCATACACGAACAGTTTTTGTCTTAGAAGAAAAACAAATAACACCCGTGCTGTAGGTCCACCACCTCTGCACTCAGGCACGGTTCAGTACAGCATTTGGCTGAGTACCTAGGGCACTGGAATACCAGCAGGAAGTCCTTTCCTCTGGGCACACGAGGAGTACAGGCAGGGGTTGCTTCTCAGACAGGCGGTCGTAGAGCCGCTGCAGGTGAGTGTTGTGGCAGTGAGCATCAGAGCACAGGACTGGGCCTGCAGCCAGGCGCAGTGTTGACATCCCCAAACTGGCCTCTTCTGCCTTGCTTCGCTCCCAGAGAAACGCCATCGAGCGCTTCTGTGGGGAGGTGAGGCGCCTGTGCCACGCCGAGCGGAGGAAGGACTTCGTGTCGGAAGCCTACCTGATCACGCTGGGCAAGTTCATCAACATGTTCGCCGTGTTGGATGAGCTGAAGAACATGAAGTGCAGCGTGAAGAATGACCACTCTGCGTACAAGAGGTGGGCGGGCCCCAGGCACTCCGCGCAGCTGGGTCCATCCGATCTGGGCCGAGGAAGCCTGTGCCCGGGTGTGGGGTTCGAGGGCAGTGTGAAGCTGCGTCTGGTGGTTTTTGTAGGCTCCCAGCGGCGGCACTGTGGTCGGCCTCAGGTGTCTGGGGCCTCCGGGGGCTCAGTGCCCTGGGTGCCCCCGGGAGACGCGCCTGCTGTCTGTTGCCACGCTGAGCAGGGACGAGCCCCAGGCTGAGGTGGGGAGGTGGCCTAGGACCCCGTCCGCGTGCCTCACTCTCTGCCCGGGCCACCTGGGCGGGATCGGGGGGAGGTGGGGCAGCGCCGGGCCCTGCCGACCCCCAGGACTGAGCAGAAGCGGCTGTTGGGTGCCAGTGACCCTTGTGCCCCGCACTGCTTCCCTTCAGCGGGAGCCTCTGGCTGTAACGGTCTGAGGAAGGCTGCAGGGGAGGCGTGGTGCGGCCTGGCACCCCTGGAGCCCGGAGCTGTCTGGGCCCGGCCCCTCCAGCTGCTCTTCTCACCCCCTCTCCTGCCCCACTGCCCCGAGCCACTCTCAGCAGTGCGTGTGTGCACAGCCCTGGCTCCGCTGCAGCCGGAGTGGCCAGCACAGCTCCTCTGGGGGCAGATGCTGCCACAGCTGTCTGTGTCACGAGGGGCCTCCACGGCTTCCTCGGCCTGCACTCCCCGGACCCCAGCGAGGACTCTGTTAGCCAGGCAAGGGATGTTGACTCATACTCGGCTTCACTGCGCATCAATTTTCAAACCCACAAAAGGAGCAGCTTAAACAGGGTCATAGTTTTTCTCTCTCTCTGGAAAGTCCGGCGTTAGGGTCCCCTGCTGAGTAGCGAGCTCACAGTGTGCAAACCCATGGCTTCTGTTGTCCCACTCTGCCATCTTCATGTGTTGTCTCGTGGTCCAAAATGACTGCCTGAGCTCCAGCTGTCATTTGCGCATTCCAGTGAGCAGGAAGGAAGGAGAAAAGAAGGGCTGTACTCCACCGAGAGTAAACTTTCAAGTGCCTTACAGCTTTTGGGATCCTGTCTCATGGCTTAGCCCTAGCTTACCTGGCCACAGCTAACCACAGGGAGGTAAGGCACATTGCTGCCTCACAGAAGTTTCAGACTTGTTTGTAAGGAAGAAGGGGAGGAAATGAATTTGAGGGGTGTCACCAGTCTTTGTAGTGGAAACTTTTCTTTAACGAAACCCCAGGAGTTTTAGGTGGTGCAGACACATGGGCAGGTCCTGTTGCCTTTCTGAGGGGTAGGCTGGACGCACAGACAGCCCACCCCCTCTGCCCTGCTCCACAGGCCTCACAGACCCATGCTCCTGCCAGGGTGGCTGCAGCTCCCTCTGCGGCCTGCTCCACATGCCGTGCGGGGCTGCAGTGGTGGCAGCATGGCGGCCAGGATGGGGCTCCTTGTGTGAGGCCTGGTGGCCACAGCGACCTCAGCAGACAGCCTCGCAGTGCTGCCTACCTGTCTCCCTCGAAGGGCTTGTGGGGGTCCAGGCGCCTGTGCCGTGGGTGGGACGAGCATCAGCAGGTGCAGGGGAGAGGCAGTGGAGCGGGGCCCAGCAAGGGCAGAGGCAGTGAGCGGCCGGGTGGAGCAGGACTCACCTGAGCCAGGGCCTCTGCAAGCCGCTTTCCCACAGATGCGTAACGGCGGAGATCCCTGTGCCTTCGGAATTCTTTTTTAAATTGGCATGTTGGTGCCTTTGGCATTAACTTCTTTTACTTCTCAGGGCCGCTCAGTTCCTACGTAAAATGGCAGATCCTCAGTCCATCCAGGAGTCGCAGAACCTGTCCATGTTCCTGGCCAACCACAACAAGATCACGCAGGTGAGGTGTGATCCCGGGCTCGAGGCCACGCTGGGCCGGGCGGCGTGGCACACGGCTCTCGCTCTGTCTCGCAGTCCCTGCAGCAGCAGCTCGAGGTCATTTCTGGCTACGAGGAGCTCTTGGCAGACATCGTGAACCTGTGCGTGGACTGCTACGAGAACAGGATGTACCTGACGCCCAGCGAGAAGCACATGCTGCTCAAAGTACGTGCGGGAGGTGGGAGGACACACACTGCTGTGCGGTCTGTCCCCGGGGCTCACGGTTGCGCTGGCCTTGCCCGCAGACACCCGCGGGTGCCCCGGCACAAGGTGCTGGTGGCCGGGAGGGCCTTGGTCTGGGCTTTCTCGGCATCGAGCAGCTTTTAGCAGAGGCCGTGTAAGGCTCTGCTGCTTACAGATAAGATTGCTGGGAACTGAACACAGCTGCCCTCAGTTTCCTTGGAAGACTGGTGCCCCATGGGCTCCGACCCCACACTTGCGCCAGCCCCTCGGGGCGAGTGGCGGAATATTTGCCTGGGAGGTGTACACATCCTCCTGTGTGCTTTAAATCATGTCTAGCTTATTTAGAATGCTAATACATCATCACGCTATGTAAATGGTTACATTGTATTGCCTAGGGAACGATGACCAGAAAATTCTGTACATACTCACTCGGGATGCAAACCTTTTTGGGGTATTTTCAGTTCAGTCTGTGGATGGTTAAATCCAAGGATGCAGGACCCAGTGATAAGGGAGGACCACCGTGTATTAGGTTACAGCAGGTGGCGAAACCACTGAGCTAAATCCCCAGCCTGCCCTCACTTTTGTTGTTGCTGAGGGACAACACCTGACCTCCTGCAACTTAAAGGAGAGTTCATTTTGGCTCATGTTACAGTCCGTGGTCAGCTTGCCCTGAGCAGGACAGCATGGCAGGGGCCGCATGGAGAAGAAGCCGGTCATGTGGAGGTGGGGAAACAAAGTGGAGTGGGCGACAAGGGGGAGACCAACTCTTCAGGCCACACCCCCTTCCCAGCAGGCCCCTCCCAGCAGCACCTTCCGCTGCAAACTCATCTGTGGACTGAGCCACTGATCGCGTCATGCCCCCTTGATCCAGTCACCTCCCAAAGCCCCACCTCTGAGCACTTGAGGCTCCAGAGAGACAGCTAGATATAACCATAACACACCCCATTTTTTTTTTTGGTACCAGGGATCGAACTCGGGTCCTTGCACTTGTGAGGCAGGCAGCAGAACCACTGAGCTAAACCCCCAGCACATCCCATTCTTTATCAACATTCTGCTTCGAGTCAGTATTCCAACTGTGTTTCTCAGCAGACAGATGAGCCAGCAGCTCCCCTGTCCCTTTGCCCCACTACCCACCTCTCGAAGAGCAGCCCAAGTAGCATAGGAGACCCTTTGATGGGTGTCCTGCCACCTGGCCTCAGGCCTCCACCCTGCAGGAGGGTGCTGTGAGGTGCTGAGGGCCAGTGTGGCCCTGTAAATGGGGTGCCCAGTGGTGGTGGAAAAGTTGTATCTGCACTGTGGGGTGCAGGGGCCCCAGCCAAAACCCCATAGGAGCAGTGGAGATGTGTGTGCCTGTGCTGAAACTTACCAGTCAGGTGTGGCTCCACACTGCACAGTGCAGTGGCCCCACGCTCAGGCCAGGCTAGCACTGGCTCTGACAAGCAGCCTTAAAATACAGCTTTGTGATACTATTTCGATACTGTTATGATGCTGTTTTGCAGATCGGTCTGGAGAGATGGGATATGAAGTTAGAACAAAACTTTAAAAAAAAAATGTACAATTTAATATGCACACCTTCCACTGTGCACTGGATACCTGCTGACTCGTGTTGCCACGCTGGTTGTTGAATGCTCTACACCAATGTGTGGTTGCCTCTCCTCGTTAATGGAACTCTAGGGACGGTGCTTTATTTGTCCTGGCGCCTGATGTTAGTAGGTGTAGAGAGAACCCTAAAAGGCTAGGACTGATGGCAGGATTGGGGGCCCTCTCCTGAGTCCCAGTTGGAGCTGTCCGTGTCGAGTATTGTAATCTGCTCAGCACGAGTTGGTGTTGGTGTTTGGGCCTTGACAGGAGGCTGAAACATCGAGAGGAGCTGGGATACATAAAAGAATGACTTCATCGGAAAGGGCAGCTCTTTCCTGCCTAGGAGCTGTCAGAAGTGCCGGGGGAGAGGCGTGCCCTGTGGTTTCAGGTTCACACTGGCGGTGCGCATCTACATGGGAGGGAAACAGTCAGGGTGAATGTTCACGCACCACCTTGTGGCTTCCAGGTCATGGGATTTGGTCTCTACCTGATGGACGGGAGTGTGAGTAACATCTATAAACTAGATGCCAAGAAGAGAATCAACTTATCCAAAATTGACAAGTACTTCAAGGTAGGTCACTTTTTTCCTTTTTTAAGATCAGTGCTTTTATTGATGTGTGCAGCTTGAAGCTTCATGGAGAACCCCTGGGTGGTCGTGATGCCCATCAGGAAATGCCGGAGTGAGAGGGACCCTGGAGCTCAGCCTACCATCTGCCAGTGGCTACTGGCTCTCTTTCCCGCCCCTCAGTGTGCTCTTGCCTGGGCTGAACTTCATGGAAATGGAATTGTGCTGTTTGTACTCTTTTGGATCTGGCTACTTGGACCCAAACGGTTTGATACCACATCCATGCAGGAGCCGGGCTGTAGTGTAGTTGCGTCGATTTGCATTTTACGATTCTGTGTGACTTACCCACTCCATTTTGGGTGGGCATCGCTTGTTTGGTGGCTTTTGCCTAGTGCAGGCCTTGCTGCTGTGTTGTGGTGCTCTTCTGATGGACGCAGGAGATAAGTTGGGTCCTCGGTACCTTTGTTTTCAATGTTAGTGGCAGTGGCCCAGCGGCCTTCCCACGGGCTGTCCTGATTTGAGGGAGCTGGCTGAGTTATCGAGCATTTCCTGGTGGCTGATTGACATTTCCCTGTTGCTTTTCGTGTTATTAGCCTTTCTGTGTTCCTATGTGAGGTGCCACTTCATGACTTTCACTCTTTCCTCCCTGCTGATTTTTAGTTATTTGCGTATTCTGGATATACGTTCTTTGTCAGAAGCATGTAAAATACATGTGTGCTTCCCTGTATGGCTCACTGTTTCACTGTTTTTTTGTGGTTCTGGGGGTGAACCTAGGGGTTTACATACTAGGAAAGTGCTCTACTACCGAGCTACATCCTTGTTTATCATATTTTTGTAGTGAGAACATTGAAGAAATCCTCTCAGTAAATTTCACGTCTGCAGTGCAGTATTGGAAACGTTGTCACCCTGGGTTCAATTCCCATCACCCTAAGAAAAGAAAATAAATGAAAATAATGTAAAATACCGAGCCACCTAACACAGGAACGTGTATTGTTCCATTTGGTGAGAACTTGCTCTAGAATTTTCAGGCTGATATTTTTGTTTTGAACTCTTGCACATCTTTGTTAGCTTTATTCATGCATACTTTTATTTTTTGGTGCTATTGCAAATTGTTTCTCTGTAAGTTTTCGTTTTATGGTTACCATGGTGCCTTGGTTCACAAACTTAATTCTTTCCACAATTCTGGTTGCAAACGAAATTGAATGAGAACCAAATCAAATTCAATGTTTAGATTCTTTTTTCTTTTGGTACTGGGGATTGAACTCAGGACCTTGCCCTTGTGAGGCAGGCCCGGTGCCACTGAGCTAAATCCCCATCCCTCAATGTTGACCTTATGGAGAACTTTGATTTGGTTCTTGTCCAATTCGGTTTGTGACCAGAATCATGGAAAGAATTTAGTTCCTGAACCAAGGTACCACTGTATTTGTTGCTAGTACACAGAAGTTGCAACCATTTTTTTAGAGCCCCTGAATGTAGCAAGATAGGTTAATTCTCACATTTTAATAGCTTGTATGTTTGTTTGTTTTGGTACCAGAGATCGAACTCGGGACCTTGCACTTGCAAGTCAGGTGCCAGAACCACTGAGCTAAATCCCCAGCCCTAAATAGTTTGTATGTATGTTGGTTCTTAAATTGTATTTTGTTCTTTTCAGAGTTTTTTTTGGTACTAAATGATTTGCAAAGGTAGCACTTGGCCCAAGATACTTAGTAGCATTAGTCATTTTCTTTGTACTTGTGTATTTGATGCTTGAACATAAATAATGACTCTGTTTTTTGTTGTTCTTTGAATACAGCAGCTGCAGGTGGTTCCGCTCTTTGGGGACATGCAAATAGAACTGGCACGATACATCAAGACCAGTGCCCACTACGAGGAAAATAAGTCTCGGTAGGAAGAGGGAACCTGCCTGGGAAGAGGTTTCTGCAGTGTCCTTACCGGGCAGCTTTAGAGCCCTGCTGGTCTATCTGGAGATCACACTTCTGAGATTCCTGCCAGTCTGAAACAGAATGTCCACTATGGTAGCCCTCGCTACATGTGGCAATTTATATTTAAATGCACTAAAAAAATACAATTTGAGTTTTAATTTTCTTAGTAGAGCAGTCACATCTCAAATGTTCATATAATCAGAGGCTGCTGTACTGGACAGCACATACTGAGAACATTTTCACCCTCCCAGAAGGTTTGACTGGAACCATGGTTGAGAAGACAAATAACTCTGTGGACCGAGGGGTGGGGCGCTTGTGTCAGTGACAGAGGCAGTGAGTGACATTTGTTCTGACAGCAGAGTTACGGAACTGTAACCTAAGGCCTGAGCCAGCCCAGATGTGGTTCCCAAGACCTGCAGAGCTCAGAGTGGGCTTCACACTTTAAAGGATATCTTTAAAAACAAGATGGTGGTGGCAGTGACCATGTGACGAGACAGGATGGCCCACAGACCCCAAAACACTTATCCTCTGCCTCCATATGGAGAGCTGGTGGCCCGCACCGTCAGAGGTCTGTAGCTCACTGTTACATGTGGTTGGAAACACACAATAGTACGCGTTCCTGTTGTTTACACCTGCAGCTAACATCCGGTCACCATTCCTCAATTTCCCCAATTCTGGTTCATGAACTTAATGCTTTCCACACTCATGAAACAGATTCAGCGACAGAATGGTGGAAAGCTTTAGGTTGGTGAACTGAGGTACAGTACTCAGTAAATTCTTTCGGCATTACGGGCTACAGGTGGTCCCTGTCGAAGAATCTTCTGTTTTACTTCAACAAAACCTTGAAAAACACGTGATCCGTTTGTGCGGCCCCAGTGCCGTGTGCCACACTCAACTGCCCTGTCTTGACACTCCGCGCTGTGCCGGTGCTGCTTTGTGAGGCGGGGTTCCTCTCCCACCCAGGTGGACCTGCACGTCCTCCAGCAGCAGCCCGCAGTACAACATCTGTGAGCAGATGATCCAGATCCGAGAGGACCACATGCGCTTCATCTCGGAGCTGGCGCGCTACAGCAACAGCGAGGTGAGAGCCGTGCACCTGAGCCTCCAGCACCCTTGTGCACCTAAATGCTAACTTCAGTTGTTTTGAAAGCATAATTGAGGGCTGAATCTAAAAAGCATCTGCTATAATGGGAGAGGCAGGGAAGTTAGCACTGTTGGTATCTGTTCAGCTGCACAAGATGTAGCTTTTCTTGGGGAAAAGCACCCACACCCTTGGGGTGCAGCTCTGTGGTAGAGCGCTTGTCTGGCATGTACAAGGCCCTGGGTTCAGTCCCTGGCATCACCGAGAAAAATATAAAAAGAGTTCTTTAAGCAAAGAAGGAAAAAAACCATTAGGTGGCATTTCCTGGTCATTACTATGGTTTTAAGTAGCTAGGGGTGGAAAAGGAGGACACTGCGGAAAGAAAGGCACTTTTCTGTTTTTTAAATGTGGTCATGTTTCTCTTTCTTTTTTTTTTTGTACTGGGGATCAAACTTGGGATCTTGCGCTTTTGAGGCAGGCGGCAGAACCACTGAGCTAAATCCCTGGTCGAGTTTTTTTTTTTTTTTTTTGAGACTCACTATGCAGTCCAGGCTGGCCTCAAACTCACAGTGATCTTCCTGCCTCAGCCTCCTGAGTGCTGAGATTACAGGCGTATACCCCCAGGCCTGGCAAGAAAGGGTACTTTGACCTGTGAACCCTTTCATGTCTTGAAGGAAAGAAAGTCCCGAAGCCGGAGGTGGCAGGAGCTTGGGGGGTGGCGGCAAGGAACATCCTCAGGGGGGTGTGTCCCTGTGACCAGGAGGTGGCCTGGAGTGGCTCCTGGGAGGAGGGGCGTTCTCTGCGGGGAGGCCTTTGTCATCCGTTTCCTGCACAGCCGTATTTGCCAGGACCGTCGGGCTCTCACGCTGTCTCACCTGCTCGGCGGGCTCCCTGACAGGTGCGGTGGCCAGGAGGGCAGTGCCAGCCTCAAGGAGGGAGCAGCAGGTGTCGCTCCTCTCGCCTCAGGCCAGGCAGCGAAGGCGGGGTGCAGGGCGGCTGTGTGTGTGGGGACAGCCGGGAGCAGCCAGGGTCTCCGTCAGGTTTTCGGAACCACTTGGCTCTGTAGGTGCGTGAGAGGCCCATTAACACCAGTGGAGAAAGCCCTGGCACCAGGCCTGCTGTACAGACAGGAGCGCCCCTGCCCCACAGGCCAAGCATGCGTCCTCCTGCACACAGAATGGCGGGAAAGACCCCGTGCCGGGCCTGTGCTGACTCTGGTGCAGACCCGAGCAGAACCAGGACGGCTCCATCCCCACCCGCCCGTGACCGATGGGTGTGATTGTAAGCTGCACTGATGGGAAAGTCTTAAACCACAGGGTTATGCTCCTCCAGTAAGTCCACTTTACAGTGTGCCTTCCTGACTGATTTTATTTACTCATGGTCATTTTTTTTTTTGGTAGTGGGGATCGAACTCAGGACTTTACACTTGTAAGGCAGGCGCTGGCACCACTGAGCTAAATCCCGGTCCTTGGTCATAATTTTTTAAATTAAATTTTAATTTTCATTAGTCCATGCTTGCAGTACATAATCATTGCATTCCTTGTGGAGAGTTGGTACATGTTCATAACACATCTTAATTCTTTTTAAGATGATTTTAATAAGGAAAATAATCTACCTTTGAACCCCTTGTTTGGGGTATTTTTTAACAGGTATAATTCAGTATAATTCACCTGTTGAAATCCTACCTCAAAAGGGTTTTTGCTGTGTTTATTCCCTGGGCTGAACAACTTCTCCGCCGCCCACGGGACACTTCCGTCACCCCCACGAGCAGCGGCCCCGCCTTGCGCCCACCTGGCAGTCTGCTCTGTGTCCCTGGGTCGGTGGCTTCGCCCGATCTGGTGCCGCCCATAAACAGGACCCTAAATGAGTGGTGGTCCTTTGGCCAGGTTCCTTGGACTTCCGATACTGTTCTCAAGGTTTCTTTAGCTTTTAAAGCCCGTATCAGTTTCTGTGTTTCTCTTTGTGGCTGAGGGGCTGAACCGCAGTTTGCTTCACACCGATGAACAGCAGGTGTGCACTTGGGTTAGGTCATGCTACTGTGGGCGTCACTGTGTGAGCTTCGAGTAAAATCACCTTTCGTTCCTCTGGGTGGCTGTTCAGGGAAGGAACTGCTGAGTCAGGATCGTAGCTCTCTGTCTCTTTTTGAGGAACTGCCAGGGTGTTTTCAGAGTGACTGATTCTGATCAGCAGTGCGTGACAGCTCTGATTTCTCCACATCTTCAACACTTGTCACTGTCTGCGTTCATTCCTCTTGCCTTTCGCTCTCACCTGTCCTGGCGGGCCTGAGTGGCGTCTGTCCTGTTGTGGATCTGTTTGCCTGTGACTCTTTTCTTTTCAGGCACTCATGGGTCAGTTACACGTTGTTCCAGAAGCATCCACCCAGATCGTTTGCCCATGTTGTGTTCCTCCCACGTGTGGCTGGCTGGATCCCTAGCCAAGTCTGCTGGTGGAAGGGTGAACGTGTCCGTGGCTTTCCTCCTGATGGCCTGCCTGTGTCCCCAGGTGGTGACAGGCTCAGGGCGCCAGGACGCTCAGAAGACAGACGTGGAGTACAGGAAGCTGTTCGACCTGGCGCTGCAGGGCCTGCAGCTGCTGTCCCAGTGGAGCGCGCACGTGATGGAAGTGGTAGGTGCGGGCTCTGGCTGTGTGCAGGAATTCAGGCAACCTCACGCACAGCCACCCCTGGTGGATACACATCAAGAACGTGGCTTAGGGATATATATATATATATATATATATATATATATATATTGTGTGTGTATGTGTGTGTGTTAATGTAGCTCATTAGGTCCAGAATGGATCATTCAATTTTTTATCTGTGGCCCAAGAAATAAGATTATGCATCCAGCCGGGCATGGTGGCGCATGCCTGTAAACCCAGCACTCAGGAGGCTGGGGCAGGCAGATCACTGCTGGCTTCAAGGCCAGCCTAAACTGTAGCAGCTCAAAAACAAAACAAAACAAAACAAAGATTGTGCATCCATATTGCTGTTGCTGAGGTGCCTTACTACCTTTTACTCCAGAGATATACATAAAAGTCTGCTTCTTTTAAAACACTGATAGAAGGGGAACAAGGGAGGGGGAGGAAGAAAGGAAAGAAGGGACAAGGAAAAAAGAAAATCGAAGGAGAAAATGGAAACAAAGGTTTTGTACCTAGGGGAGGGGAGGGAATGGAGAAAAACAGCAGCAAGATATCTCATGTGCTCATACAAATTTCCTACGGTGCATGTTACTATGTATCCCTAAGACGTACCAATGAATGTTTTCTAAAAAAAAAATCATTGCTAGAACTAAATTTATGCCATTGTGATGGTCTTTAATTCTCATTTTTATTTATTTTCTAATTCCCATTTTAAAAACAACAGCTCCACCTCTCAGTATCTTTTCTTTTCCTCCAGTACCGGGGATCAAAATCAGGACCTTGTACTTGCGAGGCAGGCACGGTGCCACTGAGCTAAATCCTTGGCCCTCTCTCAGTATCTTTTAATGTTAGTGAGATTGTGTCTGGTCCATCTAAGGATCAGAATAGCTGTGTGTCATACAAGTTTTTCCCTTTCGGTCAGATAAAAATTACCCAATGGGAAGATCACAGGAGCGTTTGAGAGGCAGATTCTTTTTGTTAATGGTGATGAGATGCCTAGAGTCTTCAATATCCAGCATGCGATATCCAGGCCTTGTACCTGGTGCTTTTCTTACACCTGCAGTTAGATGGCAGAGTGTTCTGCCCTTCTGGAGGTGGACCTGTGCTCCTGTCCACTTTCAGGCGGTAGCACATACGAGGAGGCCAGCCTGTCAGGGCCTGGCCTGTTGCTCGGTGGGGACGTTTCTCCTCTCTGTCCACCCAGTACTCCTGGAAGCTTGTGCACCCAACCGACAAGTACTCGAACAAGGACTGCCCTGACAACGCGGAGGAGTATGAGCGTGCCACCCGCTACAACTACACCAGTGAGGAGAAGTTCGCCCTGGTGGAGGTGAGTGCCTTGGCAGCTTCCTCGGGCACACCTGACGCTGGCCTCGCTCTGTTTTTCTTTCCAAAAGCAAAGGAAAAGCATGGACAGCCTGCGGCTCTGCCCAGTCCACTTCCTGACCATCGATTTGCCTCTTCTGGGCCCTTCATGTAGATGGGCCATGCAGTGCGTGGGCCTTGGTGATCTCCCTCTTTCACACAGTGCAATGTTTTCAGGGCTCAGACAGGCATCGGGTATTGTGTCCCTTTTGCTGCTGCATAATACTGCATTCCGTTTCTGGACATACTACATTTATTTATCCATCAGAGGGATGAACATTTGGACCGTTTCCATCTTTTCATTATTATTTTTTCTTTATGGCAGAGTAGTACTCCATTGTGTATAAATGGCACATTTTCTTCATCTGTTGATGAACATATAGGCTGCTTCTAAGATTTGGCTGTTATAAATTGTGCTGGTGTAAGTATGAGTATGCATGGATCACTGTAATACATCTTTTAACTCTTTCAGGAAGATTCCCAGAAGGGGACTAGCTGGGTCAAGTGGAATTTCTACTTTTAGGTTTTTTTGGAATCTTTATACTGATTTCCATAGTGATTGTATTAGTTCATATTCCCACCAATAATGTAGAAGGGTTCCTTTTTCTCTGCAGCTTCTCTAACGTTTGTTGTTATCCGATTTTTTGGTGATAGCTGTTCTTCCTAGAGTAAAGATGGAATCTCAGTGTTATTTTAATTTGCATTTCTCTGATGGCCAGTGATGTTGAACATTTTTTCATGTACTTATTGGCCATTTGTATTTTTTTTTTCTGAGAAGTGTCTGTTCATCGCACTTGCCCATTTTTTGATTGGTTTGGGGTGTTTGATTTGTTTGAGTTCTTTCTGTATTCTAGATATCAGTCCTCTGTCCAAGGAATAGCTAGCAAAATCTTTCTTCCCATCCTGTAGGCTGTCTCTTCACTCTTGGTTGTTTCCTTTGATGTGCAGAAGGTTTTTTTTTTTTTTTTTGGTACCGGGGATCAAACTTGGGTCCTTACCCTTTCGAGGCAGGTGGCAGAACCACTGAGCTAAATCCCCAGCCCAGAAGGTTTTTAATTTGATGTAATCCCATTCGTTGATTCTTAGTGTTACTGCTTGTACAACTGGAGTATCCTCTGTCCCCCAGCAGTGGTGCATGACAGTGTGGGTGGTGCTGCCAAGCAAAGAAGCCCCGCTGAGCCCTCGAGTCGGGGATCCCCTGGTGGCCAGCAGCAGCTACTCACACTCAGGCCCCAAGCACTGAAACAAGCAGTCTTAGGGGCCGGGGATGTGGCTCAGTGGTTCTGCTGCCTGCCTCGCAAGCGCAAGGTCCCGAGTTCGATCCCCGGTACCAATAAAGAAAACAAACAAGCAGTCTCCACTAACCACACTGCTAGCAGGAGCTGTCGGATCAGCCCGGCCAGCAGTGGCCCCAGGTCAGCAGTGGCAAACCTGTGGCACATGGGCCTCAGCGGGCCGTTGGTATCATTGAAAGCTCTAGAAGGTTCCCACCACTGCCGTAGGTTTAGGCACATAAGGAATGCTCTTATCAGACAGAACATTTTCACGGCTCAGAGCTTGGTTCCTTGTCACAAGCCAGGGGCCAGGCCTACAGATGGGCATTTCCTAGGAGCACAGGGATTGTGGGGCCTCGGACCTCCTGAGTTCACCCTTAGTACAGGAGCCTCTTTGCCTGTGGACATCTAATTGTCTTAGTACTGTTTATTGAAAAGATTGTCTTTCCCCATTGAGCTGTTGTGGTACTCTGCTGGGAACCACTAACTAACTGTAAGGCTGTTTCTGGTCTCTTCTGTACCAGTGGCCTTACAGCTATGCTATGGTAGTGTATTTGCATCCACTAGTATATGTGAACTCTGTGGCGATGCTGTTTTCATTCTAAACCTGGCAATCCGTGCCTTATTTCTTTTTTCTTACATTGATTTTTTTTTTTTCTTTTTTTCTTTTTTTTTTTTTGTACTGGGGATCGAACTCGGGACCTTGCACTTGTCAGGCAGGCAGCAGAACCACTGAGCTAAATCCCCGGCCTTATTTCTTTTTTCTTGATAAGTCAGTCATGCTGGGCATTTGTCTGCCTGCCTGCCTGTCTGTGTTTATTTAGGAGCTTTTGTCTTTTTTTTTTTGGTACTGGGGATTGAACTCGGGTCCTTGCGTTTGCGCAGCAGGCGGCGAAACCACTGAGCTAAATTCCCGGCCCTAGCAGCTTTTGTCTTTGTTATTCACTCTCAAGTATTACACCTGTCTGTTTTGCTAATTTTTTTTCTTTTAGATATTTCTTTCTACTTTTAGGGTATGTATTTTGATGATGTTTTTGTAAATTCATGATGAATATCAAATGATAATTCTCAGTCTTTTTTGTTTTCTCATTTATGCATCTAAGGCTCTGAATTCACCTTCAGCATGTCATTTCTTGCTTTCCATAAATTTGAATATAGAGTATTTTCATTGTTACTCAAGTGGGTTTTCCCCATTTGCTTTTTTTAAACAGGAATTTCCTTTTTCTTCTTTTTTTATTAGATAAGTAATAAAAAATCATCAGTTTCCAAAGTAAACACATTGAAAACCTAACTGTAGGGGCCAGGGATTTAGCTCCATGGTTCCGCTGCTTGCCCTGCAAGTGCAAGGTCTCCAGTTTGTTCCCTGGTACAAAAAAAAAAAAAAAAGAAAAAGAAAACCTAACTGTAGCCAGGTGTGTAGTGGATGCCTGTAATCCCAGCTCTCTGGGTGGCTGAGGCAGGAGGGTTACCAATCAAGCCCAGCCCGGGCAATTTAGCAACTTAGTGAGACCGTTTTTCAAAATTAAAAAACAAAACTGTAGGCTGGGAGGTATAGTGCATCGCAGAAGCTTGACTTGTTTGGATCTTGAGTTCATGCTTGTATAAAAACCAGTTATTGGGCCGGGGATTTAGCTCAGTGGTTCCGCCGCCTGCCTTGAAAGCGTAAGGTCCCGAATTCGATCCCCAGTACCAAAAACAAAAACAACAACAACAACAAAACCCAGTTATTACTAGAAGATTCCAATGAACCAACTTGTTTGGAAATGTTTCCTAAAGAGAAAAAGCTACGCCCTTGCCCAGGGTTTCTGATGTGCATGTATCACTGTAGACGTATTTATGATCTCCTAAGGCCCAATAACAAACCAAAACTTTCTCAAAAGGAGAGACCCTGCACAGGTGGTTTATCTTCATAGAAGCACTGCGGTGGAGGAGGAATGATCCTCATTCTGCAGACCTAACGGTTCAATTCCTGGTGCTGCCAGAAAAAAAAAAGGGGGAAGAAAAAGGAAACCAAGCTGTGGTATTAGGGAAGCGGGCTGCCTAGATCCCTTGTGGAACGGACTTTGAGCAGTTCGCTGCATCTTCTTCCAGGCTTTTGCACGCATGTTAATCCAACATACCATTTTTGTTTTAACAAGTGGGATTTGGGTGTAAACTCCCATATCTTCTTGTCTTCCAGTTACTCTGATATTTGCTCTCTTGGATCCTTTTGTTGATTGTGTTGTGTACTGGGGATTGAACCCAGGTCCTTCCCGTTGAGCTACATCCCAGCCCGTTTCTATTTTGAGACTGGGGCTCAGTAAGTAAGTAGGTTGCCCTTTGATCCTCCTGCCTCAGCCTCCCAGAGAGCTGGAAGAATTCTTTCCTTTTTTTTCTCCTTTTGGAGTCCTGGGAAGGGTGTGTCCCGGTGGATGAGGGTGTGTGTGGGTCAAAGCAGTCCTGCCCTCAAGTGCTCGTAGAACAATATGGAGCCCCTTGCTCTTCAGAGAACGGTGCCGGTGCCAGTGCCAGGTGGGAAGGGGAAGCCAGGGAGAACGGGCTGAGGCACTGAGAGATGGCCTCCAGGCACTGAAAGCTCCCGCCCCTGCCCCACTGAAAGCCCTCTCCCGCAGGTGATCGCCATGATCAAAGGCCTGCAGGTGCTGATGGGCAGGATGGAGAGTGTGTTCAACCACGCCATCCGGCACACGGTCTACGCCGCCCTGCAGGACTTCTCCCAGGTGACCCTCAGGGAGCCGCTGAGGCAGGCCATCAGGAAGAAGAAGAACGTCATCCAGAGGTCAGCCACTGCGCCCGCCTGCGCCCGCGCAGCTGGTCCGGGTTGTCCCGGTCGGTCCCTGGGTGCTGGGTACAGACAGCAGGAGAGCCCTGCTCTGGTGGTTACATCTGCACACCTGTGCCGAGCCCAGGCACCTGGCGGCTGCTCTTAAATCAACTTGGCAGCATGGAAGAGTTCAGGCTGGGGCGGGCGGGCGGGCGGGCAGGGCAGCTTCTGATCTCCTGACCTGCAGACTCGAGCCGCCCCTCTCCCTCGAATCCTCTTGAGAATCGCAGCTTTCTTTCTCCCCGCCTGCCCTAAACCTGACATAGAGCTGGGCAGGGACGCAGGCTTATCATCCCAGCTCCTTGGGGGCTGAGGCCCGAGAATTGGAACGTTAAGGCCAGCCCCCGCAAAGCAAAAACCAGCCCCAACGTGGATGCTGCAGAAACTCAGTCATGATCTTGAGCTTCTGTTTCTTCTTTTTTTTGGTACCGGGGATCGAACTCAGGTCCTTACGCTTGGGAGGCAGGAGGCGGAACCACTGAGCTAAATCTTTTTTTTCTCTTGATGTGAGGCTGTGTTTCAAGGCCATCCTGTAAAATGAAGCTTTGTGGATATATGGACGTGACTTACTTATTTAAGCCTTATAGTTTGCATATTTGACACCTAGCAGGGTAAAATTATTAGCATTAATGAACTTTTATACAGGTTTAGCATCCTAATCCCAAATCCTAATGTCTGAAATGCTACAAAATCCAAAACTTTTTGAGGGCTGACATGATGCCACAATGGAAAATTCCATCCCGCAAATTTATATACAATTTTTTTTTTTTCTTTCTTTCTTTTTTTTCGGTACTGGGGATTGAACTCGGGACCTTGTGCTTGCAAGGCAGGCACTGGAACCACTGAGCTAAATCCCCGGCTATATACAATTTTAACACACAAAATTATTTCAAGTGTTGTATATTACTTTCTCGCTGTGTATGTGAAACATAAATGAATTTCATGTACAGACATAAACCTATTCCAAGATAACTATGTATATGCAAATATTCCAAAACCTCCAAAAGCTGAAAACCAGAACACGCTGGCCCCGAACATTTCAGATGTGGACGCTCAGCCGCACTGTGATCCTAGGTTGCCATTGGTTGCGGGCTCCGTTGAGGATCGCTGCTGTCGTGCCCGTGGCGAGGCAGCTGTGTGGTCTGGACAGTCACAGATGCATGCACGGAGGGGCTGCCCGGCCTTGGTGGGGTGATCTTTCAGAGGGGATCTGTTGGGGCACACCAGGTATAGAGGACAAAGAACAGACCCCAGTCCTCGAGCCTGCGAAACATGGGCCCTAAGAGCTCCTTGGGTCTTAGTGGGAGATTCCCTCAGGTGATAGGACTAGCAAGGCACCTCTGGCCCTCAGGCGCCACCCAGGGGTCTCCGCACGGTGCCACCCTGTTGGGGACAGAGTGGTTCCCAGCCAGTCTGGGCGTGCCTGGGCTCCTTGATTCTGTGGGGGGCTTGGCCTTCCCTTGGGAACACAGGGCTCCGAGCCTCAAGAAGAAGCCCTGCCATCCATCCGGCTGGGCACTGAGGTCTCTCTGCCCTCCTCATGACTTGGGGCGGCCTGGAGACTGTTTTGGAAATGAGAACTGCCTCAGGGCTAACGGAAGCAAACTGCAGCTAAGTGAAGTCTTCTGAGAGCAGCCACGTTTCCAAAGTACTGTGATTGCTGCTGGCATGCTCGCTGCCTGCCAGGAGCTGTCTCCAGGCGGCGGCTGGGTGGGTGGAAGGGCTCTGTGGTAACTGGGCGGTGCTCTTCAGTGTCCTGCAGGCCATCAGGAAGACTGTGTGTGACTGGGAGACTGGACACGAGCCCTTCAATGACCCTGCTCTTCGGGGAGAGAAAGACCCCAAGAGTGGCTTCGACATTAAAGTGCCGCGCCGCGCCGTGGGACCCTCGAGCACGCAGGTCCTCACCCCCTGCCCTTTGCAAGGCCAGGTCCATGGGAGCGGGGGGCGTTAGGCATGAAGTCACCAGCGCAGGCACGTGCCATGCTGCCCACGTGACTGCCACGTGACCGGATGGTGACAGCCCCAAGTCTGCTCTGGCTTTGACTCAGGCGTGGGTGACCCCATTCCCACTCCGTCCCCCATGCAGTGGATGTCCAAGTGTGCATATTCACTGTTCCTGGACGCGTGTTTAAATGTGTGATTGTGACTTTATGTGAGTCTACAAATGAGCCTTCCTAAGATGAAGCGGAGAGGCCGAAACACTGCTTTCATGTGTCGTGGTCTTAGCTCCTCTTCCTGGTCTCTGTCCGTGTATCAGCCCACTCTGAAGTACTTCTCGGTCCTCATACCTGCTGTACTGTGTTCTCTGCTTTTCTGTGGGACCTGAGGCTTCCTGCTCATCTCTCCACGAAGGCTTTATAATCCCTTCTTTCCGTCTTCTCAAAAGTCACCAGCAAAGCACGTGGCTGGCTCTGGGCACCTTGGGCACTGGGGAGAAGGCACTCCGCCCTCCGTGGGGGATGGCCCTGGGGCGTGTGAGGAGCGTCCGCCCTCCTGGACTCACCGTGCATCTGTCCACGCGTCCCCTTCCAGGCATGTGCAGTGTGACTAACGCTTTTCCTACCTCTCCTTCCCTGTCTGTCCATGTCTAGCTCTACCTGGTGCGCACCATGGCCGAGTCCTTGAGCTCTGCCGAGCTGCTGAGGCAGCTCAAGTCTCTGGGCATGGAAAGGCTCTTGCATGTGGTAAACGCGTTTCTGAGGCAGTCGTACACCTATCCGCCTCTTTTAACCTTTGGTGGTAAGACACTTTGTTTTTCTTGTTGTTCATGGCACGGAGGTGAACTGCTCCTCTGCAAGTTGTTCTTTCCCCCAAACAGCAGCAGCTTGGCCACTTAGATGAGCGCCCAGGCCCCCCAGACCCTAGGACCGGCCGAGGGCCGCCTTGTGCTGGGCCGTGGGGCCTGAGGCTTAGCCCCCCGCAGGGGTCCCGGAGCAGTCCTCCTCCTGTGGTTTCTGAGTTTGGCATAACTAATGTACCATGTGTATTTTCTCCTCTGCAAATGTTTCCTTGGATAATGCAGCTTTACATGGTGAGAACCATGCTAGAGTCCCTCATTGCAGATAAAAGTGGTTCCAAGAAAACCCTGAGAAGTAGCCTTGAGGGGCCCACCATAATGGACATAGAAAAATTTCATCGAGAGTCATTCTTCTACACTCAATTGATAAATTTCAGTGGTAAGAGACAGTGCTGACCAGAGTCCGGCCTGGCATGCTCTAACACTGCTAACACCATCCAGAACGCTTCTGCCTGCCTCACGTCCCTGCCCCAGTCCCTCGCACCAGGCGGTGACGTCCTAACTGTTGTGGTGGCTGGGTGTCCCGAGGCTCCCTTGCTGTCCTCACCGTCCTTGGCCTCTGCCGCAGCCCCTGAGGATGTGGCCTTCACCAGGACAAGGACTGTGGGGCCTGGGCTGGCCTAGCAGTGTCAACACAATGTCTCCCAGCCCATGGGCTTCGGGAACACAGCAAGCGCACCCTGTCACCTGGGCGGAGAGCCAGGCTTTGGCAAACGGCAGAAGTGGCCCTGTGGGCAGCTATGTGGAAAGGCGCGTGGCCTGAGCCAGGCGGGTCCTGCTTGGTGACGCCCAGCCGTCTGGCTTGGGTTGAGGGGGGCTGCTCTGGGGGTCCCCTGTGGCCTCTGAGCCATCCCCACCCACTTCTCTGTCAGAGCAGGAGGCTTCTCTGACTCGGCCCAGGGGTCCTGAAGGTCTCAGAATAAAACGCATTTGCCCTTGGCCCCATGAAAGGGGAGAAATTTGTTTTTTAATCTGTCTAGTTTTGCATTAATCAGAACTCCCCTGAGTGTCCATGCAACGTTGAAGTCCTGAATGCTGATTTTTTCCCGGGGATTGAACTCATGTCCTCGCACTTACCAGGCAGGCACGGCACCACTGAGCTGCATCCCTGGCTTGAACACTATTTTTTATCCTAAGTAAAAGCAGGTACAGGTTGAGTATCCCTTATCTGAAATGCTTAGAGAAAAAATGTTTTGCATTATAGATATTTTTCTTTGGGTTTTGGAGTATTTGCATAGCATAATGAAAGATCTTGGGATGGGATACAAATGTAAGAAGGAAATCCATTCTGCAGCTCTACCGAGATACACTTTACAGTGTTAAGTCCACTTAAAGTTTGCAGCTCGGTGGCTTTTCTTGTACATGAGCCACTGGCTGCCGCAGCATCGCCACAGCCTAGCTTCTGAGTGTTCCAGAACAGCCTCAGGGGCTCTACATGCACCTGTGACCATGGTCTGAGGTGGCTGCTGTGTGTGGCGTGTGATGGCCTTTCAGTCAGTGTTTCCTTTTCTGTTTTGTTTTTTGAGACAGGGTCTCCCTGTGTAGTTCAGGCTGGCCTTCAGCCCACTGTATAGCCCAGGCTGCCCTTGAACTTGTGGCGTTCTTCCTGCCTCAGCCTCCTAAGCGTACCTGGCAGTGACAGGTGATTCTGACCGTGCCCCCGTAGATTGTCACCTGTTGATGTCCTAATGGTCTTGGCTTGTGTAAGCGCAGCTGCAGTCACCTCACGGTGCCTTCCCTGGAGTGTGGGCCTGTCGTCCAGCGCACCCGGTTTCTGGAGCACCTGCGTTGTGATGCCGACCATCCTGTGAGGTCGGGCATGTGATACTCGAGTCGCAGCATCCTGTCGGTGCGCAGGAGGCTTCAAGTCTTGGCGTGCTTTGGAACTGTGATTTTCACATGAGGAATGCTCAACCTGTAGTCCCGTTTTCACTTCCCTGATCCTCCCGAGCGAGGCTGGCCAGGTCCCTGTGGCAGGAGGTGCTGCCTGCTCAGAGTGCGCGGGGCCAGCTGCTGCCTCTGCCGCCGCACCTCTGCTGGGCTGTGCGGGGAGGCTCCCGGTAGTCCTTCCTGCTTATGTCCCTGCTGTGTGTGTCTGGGCTGAGTGTGGAGCTGCTGGCACCCCACACTCAGCCCTCTCGTGTCATCTCTGCTGAATCTTTTTCCACACATGGAAGATAAAACGGTGTTCTTTGAATCCTTCAAGAAACTCTGCAGCAGTGCTGTGACCTTTCCCAGCTGTGGTTCCGGGAGTTTTTCCTGGAACTGACCATGGGCAGGAGGATCCAGTTTCCCATCGAGATGTCCATGCCCTGGATCCTGACCGACCACATCCTGGAGACTAAGGAGGCCTCGATGATGGAGTACGTGTTGGGAGGCCGCCTCTCAGGCTCTGTGGTGACCCCGGGTCCTCAGGCCTGTGGGCGCAGGGGTGGAGGAGCCAGGACTGTTCTCAGCGTTCACTGGGAATCACGCTCCCCGGAGTGAACTGTAGGGATGAGCACAGGGAACCTGTTTCTTGGCTTCCGACTGAAAGCAGGCGCTCAGGCAGGCGACCCGGGCAGGCTGTGGTTGGAGGCTGGATCAGGCAGGTGCTCCATCCAACACCCCGTTCGGCCTGGTCCCTCGGGCGGCGCAGCCTCTGATGCAGAGAAATTGAGAAAAGAAGCATCTATGGATCAGCTTTGTTTTGGGGGTCAGGATTCTGAGTCAGGGGTGTAGAATCTGTCTTTTAAATGATGGCTTCCATGGGCAGCAAAGTTCAGACGTCGGGTGCTGTGAGAACAACTGAGGACCCCTCAGTGGGTCAGTTCCTTACAAGTTAGCCCACGGAGGATGCCGGTGCAACCGAGTGTGGTCAGCACGCTTGCCTTCCACTCCGCGGTGCCATCCCTCTGCTCCCCTGGCTTCTCCCGTGGCCTCTGGCTGCTGCCGGTCCAGACATAAGTGAGAGGGTGGGCTCCTGGCCGTGACCCAGTACGACAAAGACTGTCACGCAATCTTCTTTTTAACTATAGTTCATTAAAATAAGAAAACAGGGCTGGGGGTTTAGCTCAGTGGCGCCACGCCTGCCTCTTAAGCACGAGGTCCTAAGTTCGATCCCCAGTACCAAAAAAGAAGTAACTTCTCATTTTTTCAAGTTCACTTTTTAAAATGGGTGTATAATAGTTGTTCGTGTTTGTGGCTGTCTCAGCACATGTATATGTTAGGCAGTGATCGAATCAGGGTCAGCCATCATATCCATCACCTTTCATCCTCTGTGGTGAGACCAGTCAGAAGGCCCCTCTTCTGGCTGTGAGGGGTTTCTGTCAGCTGTGTAGGTTTTCTGTTTTGTTGCGGTGCTGGGGATTAGATCCCGGGCCTGATGTGTGCGAAATATGTACCCTCAGTGAGCACACCCGCCCCGCCAGCTGTTCTGGAGCATCCCTTCCGCTGTCGTTAATTCGGGCATTCTAGGCCAGACTAGATCCCCCAGACTTACTTCTGCTGTGTAAAATGCACCATGCCGCTGCAGACAGGGAGCGGGCGTCGAGGTGGGCGTGCCCTGCCCTGGGTAGGCCTGGTGGGCCGAGGGGCTCCGAGTGACAGCGCCCCCTCCACAGGTACGTGCTCTACTCCCTGGACCTGTACAACGACAGCGCCCACTATGCGCTCACCAGGTTCAACAAGCAGTTTCTCTACGATGAGATCGAGGCAGAGGTGAGGGCTCGGCAGCTGCATCCCGCCGCATCTCCTCCCGTTGAGAGTCCTTTCTCTGAGTGCTAGGGAATGAAGCCTTTAACACTGTGGGCGGTGCGGACCCTGAGCAGGCCCTGCCCTACGCTGCTTCCACCCGGCCCCGGTTGGCGCGACGTGGGCTGCGTGTCTTCCCCAGCACGCGCAGCTCCCCTGCCCACAGAGGCTCTCCGGTAGACGTGTGCTCTTCGCCTCCAGCCAAGCCCCCTTTCATTGCCTCAGTTTTTTTGTGCTTGGTTATTTTAAATAGCACTTTGCCGAACTCACAACGTGTACTTTTTTACTTGCATCTGATATTTCTGGAGGACACATTCCCACAAGGAGCCTTACAGGCCCAGGGACACATCGCTCAGGAGGCCAGTCTTGCTCTCTGGCTTAAATTCGAGGGCACCCGGCCTAGACAAACTGCTTCCTGCGTCGGGACGTCCTCTGCCTCCTCACAGAGACCACGGGCAGTTTCTTCAGGGAGAAGTCGTGGTCGCCACTAGTGCAGGGTGGCTGAGGGCTACATTTCTTGTGAGTAGGAGGCTCCACCAGCCAGGCTGCAGGTGCTGGGCCCACAGGGCTGCAGCATGCTTTCGGGGGAAGGTGCTAGCCTCCTCTGAAGCAAAGGTACAGGTCTGAGGCTTTTCCTGGGTGACCTTGGGCCTAGTGCTCCCAGCCCTGCTCCAGGGAAGCCTGGCAATGCTCTCGGACAGCCGCCCCAGTGGGGACCCAAAGCCCCTCAGAGCAGCTGGCAGGGAGACTTCTTCATGTCCCTCTGCATGTGTGAGGACAGGGTGCTCTGGTCGCTCAGCCAGGGGTCAGTGCTAGTACAGTTTTCATGGTGGACAGTGTCATTCCTGGCTACACTTCAGTTTATTTAATGTGCTAATGTCTGACAATACAATTCATTGTATTTTCTCTTCTAATAAGAGGCTCAATTAATTGCCTTTTGAGTGTTATTTGGTATTGCTTTAGGGAATTGAAATCTTACATGTGCTTTCTTTCTCTTCAGGTGAATCTGTGTTTTGACCAGTTTGTTTATAAGCTTGCAGACCAGATATTTGCATATTATAAGGTTATGGCTGGAAGGTGAGTGTCTGCTTTGTGATTCCGATACTAACTCTTGTGTAATTTGGTCTGAAGTTTCCATTAAAGTTCATAGTGTGTGAAAAATATCCAGTCTTCTCTCTGTACCAGTTTGCTTCTTGATAAACGGTTACGATCGGAATGCAAGAACCAGGGAGCCACCATCCACCTGCCGCCGTCCAACCGCTACGAGACGCTGCTGAAGCAGAGGCACATTCAGGTGAGCTGGCTGCAGCCAGTGCTGGCAATGCGGGGTTTGTCTTATGGCTTTTTTTTCCAGTACTGGTGACTGAAGCCAGAGTTTTTTGTTTGCTTTTTGATAAGCCGGAGCCTTGCAGTGTTGTCCAGGTGGGTGTCAAACTCTTGGCTGCGGTGACCCTCCCGCCTCAGCCTCCTCACGATGGGCATACACGTCTGCACCCTGCTGAAAACCTTCACCTTTTAAAGACAGTATCTATGGGATAACTCAGATACAGAGGCAGACTTGCAGCTGTCTGTCCAGGCTCTGCCTGGGCTCCAGGAAGCAGGCATACTGAAGGGGTCGGGCTTTCTCCAGGACCCCAAAACCCGGAGCTCAGAATGAAGGGCAAAAACACTGGCAGCCAGAGTGTCAGGGATGAGCTCCTCCTGGCCAGATCGAAGAATTAAAGGCAGACATGCTTGGGTTGTTTTCTAAACAAACACCATACGGTAATGTATACCATAAAGCAGCACTGTGGTCAACTGCAGACTGTCTTTACCACAGGGCCCACCTGAGCCCAGGTGTGGGTCAGTGGTGGAGCGTTTGCTTAGCTAGCATTTGTGAGGCCCTGGGTTCAATTCCCAACATCACAAGCAAAGGAGAGGGGGTCCCCGGTGGTGTCATAGCCATCCTAGCTCATGTATCTTCGGTGTTGCACAACAGCAAAATCAGCTAAGTGTGCATTGTTTTTAAGTGATGTGTGACTCTATTTACATAGAAAAATATGTAGAACTGAAGGGAAAATTCCACTTAATCCCACTGTCTATGGACAGGGAACCACTGTGGACGTTTTGGGACATTTCTCACAAGGGCTTTGCTGTATTTTTATGTTGTTTAATGATATTGAGCTACATGCATTCTTAGGACCTGAAAGAGATGGGAGAGTTTTCTCTCACTTAGAGCATAACACCCATGAAGCGCAGACATGCCTAGGGCCTCCTCGTGCTAAGAGCCAGGTCGAGACAGGTCACACAAGTTACAGTTGGAAGGCCTGGCCTTCTGGGGGCTCTGGCGGCTTGGGGTTTCTGCCTGTGAGATCAGGGGTTAAATTCAATGCAGAGGATTCTACAGAAGTCGTTCTTAAGGCTTTGACTTGCAGAATTTCAATTCCAGAAAAGTAGGATGTTTGGTTTTGACACCTGTGTATACAATTTCATATAAAATATTTCTAACATCCTCCTATAAATGGACAATCCTGTTTGTTTATATTTTGTCCTATCTTTTGAAGCAGTTGCTAGGGGAATATTTTGGTGGTTGTATGTTTGCTTTGTGCTCCTAAGATCGTCACGTTTATTGCTCTCCATGATGTCCCCACCCTCTGCTTCCCCAGCTCCTGGGCAGGTCGATAGACCTCAACCGCCTGATCACACAGCGCGTGTCAGCAGCCATGTATAAGTCCCTGGAACTGGCGATTGGACGATTTGAAAGTGAAGACTTGACATCAATAGTTGTAAGTACTTGAAGTAATTTTACTTTCATCTTATTGGTAAATTGAACTAATAGTAGGTCCAGTTTTTGTGCAGATAATAGAAAACAGACACCAATTGAACTTGCCCTATCTTGAGTATCTTTTTTAGCACCTTCTCTTAGGATTTGCAACTTAGACTGACTTTAGAGAGTAAATAATCCTAGTCTCGAATGAGTTGCACCTAAGGTGAAAGATAGCACACTACTTAATTCAGTAACATGCTTATATCTTAGTAATAATGAACTAGTCGACGTTTTTTAACTCTTCATTATAATTATCACAGAAAGATACGTGACGTTTGTCAGCTTTTCACCACTAACAAAATACCTGAGAAAACAGTTTGGAGGAGAGGTTTGTTTCGGCTCCCGGTCCCAGAGGCTTCCGCCTGTGGCCGCTGGGCTTTGTTGTGTCTGGGCCGTGGTGAGGTACGGCATCCTGGCCGAGGACATGGCAGAGGAAAGTATCACCTTGTGGCAGCCAGAAGTAGAGACAGCTGGGGAGGAAGGGGCCGGGGACAAGAACAGGTCCCGCACCCCTGACCCACTCCCACTCCCTGTTACTAGGCCCTATCCCACGTCCCCTTCACTCCCCGGCAATGCGTCAAGCCACAAGCGCGACCGCGGTGAAGCCACTCAGGAAGCTGCAGCCCTCCTGCCCAGGCCCTTTCCCGGCACCCCACCCTGCACGGGGACCACATCTTCGACATAGGATCCTTGGGGACCACTTCACATCCAAGCTGTCCAATGCAAATGTTCAGAAGTGAGCCCAGCTTGATAAAATGTATCTAAAGAAAGGACGGCTCCTTCGTGACCCTAAATGCTTCTAAAGAGCCCCCGCCTCAGTACCACTGCATGTGAAAATGAAGCCTCAGCATCAGCCTTCCTGGGAACAAATCACATTGACCATATCAGGGGCCACCTTCTTCCTCGAAGCATAGATGAACTCCTCTCACTTAACCGTTCAGCCACAGGTAAGGGTCATGGTGCAGTACCACAAGATGGGAGAATGGAAGTGCACAGTGACATCCCTGTGGACCAGCAAAGAGGGTTTGGACGGTGGCCTGGAAACTCAGGAAAGCCATAACCTAATCTTTCAGAATGAGCTAAAAGTGATTAAGAAAGTGGCAGCTGCAGCCAGGCTTGGTGGTCACACTCGGGATCCCAGGTACTTGGGAAGCTGAGGCAGGAGGACTGCAAGTTTGAGGCCAGCCTGTGCTCCTTCACGAGATCTTGTCTCAAAATAATATGAAAGAGGGAGAAGGGATAGGCTTGTAGCTCAGTGGCAAAGAGCTTGTGAGGTTCAATTCCCTGCACTGAAGATAAGAAGTGTAGTTGCTATGAAAGAACAGCACGAATCAAAAATTTTAAGAATCCAGAGATAAGGTGGAGACAAAGTTTTGAAAAGAGATGATGGAACTCATAAAAGATTTTAAAACAAATCATTTCAGAAATGAAAATTGCACCAGAAAGCACACAATGAATAATGACTCTAGAGATATGAAGGAAAGAAGAGATTTTTTTTTTTTTGGTACTGGGGATCAAACTTGGGGCCTTGAGCTAGCGCAGGAGGCGCCAGAACTACTGAGCTAAATCCCCAGCCCCAAGAAGAAGACTTTTAAAAGTCAGACTGCTAAGGCAAAGAAAAAGGATCTGAGAGGAAATGGTGTAGAAGATGATGAAGATCCAGTGTGCATTTCATAGGGATCTCAACAGAACAAAGATTAAAACTTTTATTTCAAGACAACATTGATAAAATAGAAGACCACTTCAAAGTACGACGGTCCCCAAGTTAGAGTGAGTTAACTTGCCGTCCGTTTTCTGACTTCAGGATGGTGCAGAAATGTGCTCACGCCTCCTTTCTGTCCCACACTGCAGTGCAGTGGGCAGAGGTTTCCTGCGGTGGTCGCCCTCCCTGCGAGGTGCAGCAGCTTTGCATTGTCTGTGGGCTGCTGTGAGCACCCGAGCCTTCCAGGCCGCTGGGCTGCACCGTGAGGTTTGAGGGGTTGGGTGTCGTGAGCGCAGGTTTTCCACTTAGACCTCATCTACGTACAGTGTGCCCGCACCTGAACCCACACCTGGGCAAACGGACTCGCATGGCCAGCATCAAGAACTGCTGCAGTAAAGTATTAGACTTCAAGGAGAGGAAAAAATCCTTTGCCGGAGCAGAGGCATCAGGGAGGGGCAATCTAATTATCCTCAGACCTTTGCCAGCACTCAAGGAACCCAGTGTGAATCACAGACTTTGTGGCCAGCCACATCGACCTCCCAAGCATAAGGCCGCAGCAGCCGGGAATGAGCACGCCAGAACGCCAGGGCAGTGGCTCGGGACCTTGGACAGCTGAGCCCTGGTCAGGAACAGGAACGCACCAGCACCTGCCTGCCTCGAGGCGGCTGTGTAGGGGAAAGTGCTCTTCAGGTTCCACTCAGTAGGCTGAGACTCAACCCGACAGCCTTCTCTCTCTCTTTTTTTTGGTACCAGGGATGGAACTCAGGACCTTGTGCTTTCAAGGCAGGCAGTGGCACCAGGAAGCTAAGTCCCGAGCCCAGCCTTCTCTTGACAAGTGTAATTTGCAACAGGACCATGTATTTTAATAATTAGCCAAGTATGATTTTGATTAAAATTACTGTTCGAGCTTTGACCCAGACCAGCAATTACAATAGAAAGGTAATGCAAGCCACATACGTAGTTTACTCAAAATTACAATAGAAAAGGAAAGAGAACTAGGAGAAAGTATTTATAATGATGTGTTATTTACCTATGATAATTTATTGATTAGGCACAGTAAGATGAGCAATAACAATTAATAATAGAATAATGCTCTATAATAAAAGTTGCTGGAAACTCATGCACCGTTTATTTCTGGGATGTCCACTTACTATTTTGGGCTGTGATTACCGCGTGGCTGAAACCTTGGAAAGTGAGCTGTGGTGCGCTCGGCTGTAAACGTGAGCGTGAGCGTTCAGAGGCCATGGTGCACATGCCTGTCGGCCCTGGCACCCGGCCCGTGCTTTTTAGGGGCAATGAAGCAGGGCCTTGTGCATTCTCGGCAAGTGCTCTGGTGCTGAGCGACACCCAGGCCGGGTCTGTGCTTCTGAACAGCTCCCGGCACATTGTTGCGACGTGACTCAGGGCAGACCCCTGAGCTGAGCAGGTGCGGTGCCAGCCCCCTCGTGCGGCGGGGTGGGACGAGGACAGGGAGTGGTTTGCCTGTTATGAAGTGGTGCTGGTAGGAGGGGTGACACAGCCCTGTGGATGCTGCTCTGTGGCGCGCCTGGAGGGTAGGAGGTGACCACACGGAGGGCAGGTAGTAGCTGTAGCCTGTGGGCACCCTCCAGACAGGGCTGTGGGGGCCCTGCTGTGTTCTTGGCCACTGGCCACTCCTTGCTGTGTGCTGGTCCTCTCACACCGTCTCTGTGACCCCGTAGGAGCTGGATGGCCTCTTGGAGATCAACCGTATGACCCACAAGCTGCTGAGTAGGTACCTGACGCTGGACAGCTTCGACGCCATGTTTCGGGAAGCCAACCACAACGTGTCGGCACCCTATGGGAGAATCACCCTCCACGTCTTCTGGGAGCTCAACTACGACTTCCTGCCCAACTACTGCTACAATGGTTCCACCAACCGGTGAGCGTGCTGCGCTGCACAACGCACCTGCACCCCTGCACCCAGAGCCTGGGCAGGCATCTTGGGGCTGCTTCACCCGGCTTCCACTCACCTTCTCCCTGCCTCCCTTTCTTCCCCAGTATTTCTCACGCCCTCCCCATTCGTCCCACTTGCCAGTGCAGCCCTGACTACCATCAGGCGGTGGCCCTGGCTCTGCATGTGGACACTGGGGCTGGGCCAGGCCCAGGCTTTGGCTGTGGCTTTGACTCCACCGTGGGGTGCACATTGGGAATGGCTCCTGGGACTGACTTCTGGACAATGGGCTTGCGTTTCCAGCCTGGAAAGGTTGGTGGGGTCCCTTAGCTGGCCTCCCACCCCCTGCCATTTTGCTGCTGTGTCAAACAGGAAGTGGCTAGAGTGAGGGCCGGGATGGTGGACAGCAGCAGCGGCCCAAGTGCGGGACACGACTGGGGTGCCATGGAGCGGGCTGTCTGGCCAAGGGTGCATCGCTGTGCCCCAGGATGGGCTCAGTGCTGTCAGCGCACGCCCATGTGTGAGCCACAGCAGGTTTTCCTGTAGAAACACCCGGGGGACAGGGTCACCTCCTGGCTGAACCCCACCCAGAGTAGAAGTGCCGTGTTTGCCTGTGTTTGCCCGTGTACGTGTGCACGCCCTGGGGTTGTTGGCCTTCACATGGGGAAGTGGGTCTGGGGTGGTATGTGAGCTTTTGAATGCCCTTTGCCACACAGCCCTCCTGAGAGCCCCAGGGCTGGTGCCCGTCCCGCGCAGAGGCAGTGGGCACAGGCCTGTCCTCTGGAGCTGCAGGCTGAGGAGCCAATGAGCTTCCGTAGCACGGGAGGCTTTGGGGCCTGGCCTGGCTGTGCACAGTCCCTGAAACCGATGTGGAGATGATTCGTCCCTACTTAACTTTCCTTTAAGGCGCCTATTTTTCTGAAATGTACTAAGATGTTATGTAGTCTGAACTAGTTGAAAATTCTTTGTATTATTCAAATAATGCTGCATGATTATAGTCAGATTAGAAATCAGAGATACATAGTTAAGTCCCCAGAGGTTTCCCTGGTAAAATGTCTTTCTCCTAGAGTTCTTAGTATGCAGGTCGCCTTCCGTATCCACAGATTCAACCAGTCATGGGTCAAAGATATTTGAAAAAAATTACATCTGTACCAAATGTGCACAGACAGTTCTTGTCATCATTGCTAAGGGCAAGTACAGTTCTCCACATGTTGCGTTTACGTGTGAGATACTGTAAAGCACCCGGGTGGAGTTGCGGTCTGCAGGAGGATGTGCCTACCTGGGTTCTATGCACGCATGACATCATTTAACGAAAGAAACTTGAGTGCCCCAGGAGTTGGCACCTGCAGGGACGCCAAGGGTGGCTGTGTAGTTGGACACACAGATGCACGTGTGCCACGACAGGAAGGCTGTCAGGCATGCTGCTGTCACGTGAGGGTCAGTCCAGAACTGCTTCTGCTGCTCTGAGGGTACTCCAGTGCCCTGGCCAGTGCTCTCAGGTCGCCCTTCATTTGGTTGTCACTGTGGTCCCCCAGGGCGGAGGGGGAGGAGGCAGCAGTCTGCTGCTCCTGTTGCTCCTGAGCCTTCTGGGTGAAAAACGTTTGCTGCTCCCTGGGGTGCTTTGGTCCCTGGTTCTGACGTAGAAAGGGCCTGTCCTTGGCCCTGTGCTTCCTGCTGTCCCTGTGGCTGTTCCGAGTCTGTGGCCACTTCCCGGGACAGCAGCCCCTTCTGCCAGGGGCCTCTCCCGGGCGCAGAGCTGGCCTCTGTAGGGAGGTCTCCTTCTGCAGGTGTCCCCCGCTGTCACATGCGGCTTTGGCAGAGCTGTCGTGTGCAGTGGCAGAATGGACACCGCCCAGCCCTCAGCGCAGCGTCCTGACCTTTCCTCACCTGTCTTGCACTCATGACGCTCTCTCTGAGGGACAGCGCGTCTCGAGGTTGGGGACTCTTCTGACTGCGTGTGTGAGGGACCCGTGCAGCAGGCTCCAGCCACGTCCAGCTGCCTGGGCACCACACGGGACTGAGATGTGTCCAGGGCACCATGGTCCCCAAGCATGCTCCCCCAGAGGCTGGGATATTCCCGTGTCCCATGGCGGAGACACCACTGATGTCCTGATCAGCAGCGGCGCTTGGTGGGCTCCTCCACATTCCCACGGGGGCAGGTGAGGCCCCTGTCCTGGGGTGGCCCTGTGACCCTGGACGTGCCTGGAGACAGACGGGCAGGCAGCTGCGTGGCAAGACTGCTGTGCTTCGTAGGTGCTGAGCAGTGTCCCTGCCGCCCGCCCAGTGCCGGGACTGCTGCCCTCGGCCCCCTCAGTGCAGAGGCCATCTCTAGACAGTGGCAGAGGCGCCCCAGGTTGAGAGCCCTGCTCAGCAGTGGGGGCACACCCTGCCATCCTGGAGGGTGGCCACCTGCTTTGGCATCCTGAGCCTGTGGTGAGGTGCAGCCGACCTCAGCCCTTCCGTTCACGTCTGTACCTACACCCATCACAGCATCCCAAAGGGCTGCCGGGGCTCAGTGACCTCTCACTGCGTCTGAGTGTTGTCCCCATGTGCTGAGCCTCCGGAGCAGCGTCCTCTCTCTCTGTGGCCAGGCTTGGTCCTGCTGGGCAGTCAGCATGCAGCGGCTGTGGTTCCTGATGGCCTGGGTTGTTGCTGGTGAGCTCTGGCTTACCTGGGTGGCTTTCACCCACATTCATGCTGACACTTTTTACAAGTCCTCCCCTAGGGTCTTTAAAGTTCCATTATCTGGGGCTGGGTTTTAGCTCAGTGGCACTGCGCCTGCCTCGAAAGTGCGAGGTCCTGAGTTCAATCCCTGGAAAGAAAGAAAAAGAAAAGAAGGAAGGGAAGGAAGGGAAGAAAGGGAAGAAAGGAAGAAAATTCCATTATCTGGAAAGGGCCTTGGAAAACAGACTTTTATAGCTCTAAGCTGTGTATTGACTCCAGGCCTGTGAATTTTCTGAGAACCTCTTGGGACAAGACAGAACCTTGCTGTTGTTTGGCACATGCACCCTCTGCTTTCCATTAGCACACAGTGCCTGTGGCTCTGGGGTGGCCTGTGACTCACTGATGACGTGTGGCAGAGCTGCACAGTGGGATTTGCTTGGGGGTCAGCCAGGCTCTGGCTAGTGGACAGCCACAGGAGGGGTGTCCCTGGGGAGGCGTCAGGCCCCAATACTGATCCCTGGCTAGGGGCTGGCTCTAGTGTGCTCACTGTTGAGGTACCATTTGTCATTTGAGCTTTGTAAGTAATCTGTAGGGAATAATCTGAGACCATAAAGAAGGTGTGCTTGTTGAAACTGACTGACTGGTTTTAGCATCTGTGAGTGATTCTTACCTGAATCAAGTGTCACTGGTGATTGAACAGCAGTGAGTTTGTTTTTTGAGATAGGGTCTCACTGTATATTCCAGACTGGCCTTAAGTTCACTGTGTAGCCCAGGCTCACCTCATACTCATGGTGATCCTCCTGCCTCAGCCTCCTGTGTGCTGGGATTACAGGTGTGCACCACCATGCTTGGATCTCTTTTTTTTTTTGTAATTTTTTTCTTAGTCCATGTTTGAAATACATAATGAGTCCATTATCTGGTGGGGAGTGGATACATGAACATATTTAATTCTTCTTACCTCCCCTTCCCTTTATTTGCACTTCTCCCATCTCCGGATCCTCTTCCCGTTTGCAAAGACCTATCTCCCTGTTTCCTGTCACTGTCTGATTTTGAATGGCAGCGAGTCCCTAACTCTTTATTCCCCCTAGATACCTGTCGGCATCTGCCGTTCATGTTTACACTTTTGTCTGCTTATTGGCGGTAAGGATCAGGTTCCAGCTCAGGGTCAGGACCGCCTTCATAGGTTCTGTAATTCACGTCTGCCTCGCTCTGCGCAGCAGGGCCCTTAGATGGCTCCCACGTCCTCCTCGGCATCTGCTCCACTCTGTGAGCCCTGCCCTGCTTTCTGCACCACAAGACGTTCCAGGCTCATCTTGGACTTTTCCCGCTCGGTCCTTGCCAGCTGTCATTTCCGCATGGCTCTTGTGGTGGATGACATTTAAAGTGCTAAGTGCAAACCTCCTCCCTCTGTCCCCTCCTCTCCTCTCCTGGCAGGGTTTCTGTAAGGCACCGAGTTGCCCAGGGTGGCGTAGAACTCACAGTCCTCCCTCAGCCTCCCAAGTGCTAGGATCATAGCCTGGCACCAGCACACCTGGCTTCCCTGCCTTTATATTTCTTCTCTTTTTTTTTTTTTTTTGTACTGGGGATCGAACTCAGGACCTTGCACTTTCGAGGCAGGCGCGGTGCCACTGAGCTACATCCTCGGCCCTTCGTGCCTTTATGTTTAAAGAAAGCCTCTGAGCTAAAAGTGCTTGCTGGGCCGGGTATGTAGCTCAGTGGTTTTGTTGCCTGTTGTGCAAGCGCAAGGACCGGAGTTCAATCCCCGGTACCAAAAAAAAAAAAAAAAAGTGCTTGCCAACTTTGCCGTTTCTGCTTGAAAATGTAATCATTCCATTTAAACTGCCCTTGATCCGTGATCAGGATGCAAGTTCTGGACAAAGTTGGTCATAATGCTGTGGTTTGCGTCTTGCCTGCCGCCCACAGCGGTGATGAGAACACTGCATGTCCTGGTCCCGTCGGAGAGGAAGGGCTGTCGGGCTGTCCCCCTGGTGTGGAAGCCAGCAGGGCAGTGAGCAGCGGTTGCTCCCAGCTATCGTGGGACTGTTCGGCTCGAGCTGGCCCAGTGCCCACAGCTCGCTTGGCCTCCTGCTGGCGGGAGACCGGGACTGTGTGTTGAGGCACAGGGCTCTCGCTGTGGCTCCTGAACTGTGCAGTTTCCGTGTTTCAGAGTCTGGGGAGTCCATGCGTGGTTCTTGGTTGACGGCAGTTTGATGATTATATCGGATAGCTGGGGAAGATTTAACAGTGGGTGATAGGGAAATTCTGAATTTAAAGCGCCAACACTAAAGTTAGTCTTCTCTCTTCTTGTTTAGGTTTGTTCGGACAGTATTGCCATTTTCCCAGGAATTCCAAAGAGATAAACAACCTAATGCACAACCCCAGTATTTACATGGATCCAAGGTAGGTTCTTTCGTGTTTGATTTTTTGTGTATATATTCAATATTCTTCTATATCATGATTTTTAAGTTCATAATGAAACATATATATATATTTTTGAGGGTACCAGGGATCAAACTGAGGACCTTGCGTTTGTGAGGCAGGCAGCAGAACCATTGAGCTAAATCCCCAGCCCCTGAAACATATTTTGAAATTTAATTTTTTAAATTTTGGGCAACTCAGTGTCGTCCATGCTGATCTCAAACTCCTGATCTTAAGTGGTCCTCCTGCCTCTGCCTCCTCAGTAGCTGGGATTACATACATGTGCCATTGGGCTGGCTTGAAATTTAAGTCAGTATTGTGCCATGTAGAAGGTATATTTTTCTTCCACTTCATGAACAGTTTTCTGAAAGGTGGCAGTAATCTAAAATAGAAACTAGCTGGGCATGGTGACTTGTGCCTGTAGTCCCAGCTACTGAGGAGCTGAGGCAGGAGGATGCTTCATCCCAGGAGTTTAGGCCAGCCTGGGCCATACAATGAGCCTGGTCTCAAAAAGAAAAGACCGAAGAGAGAAAGGGAAGGAGGGGGAGACAACTCAGATGATGATTACCTGGAACTGGTTCACGGTGGGAGCGCAGCTCTGGCTGTAGTAGATCCTGGAGTCCACTCTCATTCCTGCCGTTAAAATACGCGAGCCTGCAGGGAGGCTGGAAGGTTTAAACATCAAGCTAAGAAATGCACGAGAGTCCTGGGAGCAGTGCCCAAAGGCCAGGGTGCTGTGGGCGGCACATGCAGGGCCCTGACTTCCTGAGGTGCCGGCAGCCTCCCTGGGGAGGGGCAGAGCCCTGCTTCTGTGCCTGAGGGGACACGGATGCCCACGGGTGTGCGTTAAGGGTTAGTGTTCGTGGATTCAGCCAACAGGGGCCAAAAATTGTTAGGAAAAAACCCATCTGGACCGAACATACAGACATTCCTGCCTGTCATTACTCCCTAAACAACACAGTCTAACAACATACCCGAAGTTACGTGCTAGAGTTGCAAGTCACCAGGGAGGATCCAGTCCATGGGAGGGCATGGGCAGGCAACATGGAAACACTGCACTGTTTATAGATTCTGGTCCCCTCGGGGCCTGGAACCAGTCCTGCCGATCTGTGGGTGGCTGTACTTAGAGCACTCTTATGATCAGGAAGGAAACAATAAAAACAAACACTCCACGGTCTCTCCCTGCTCTGTGCAAACACATGGCACGCTGCTACATTGCTGGTGCGAACTTGTCACGCCTGTGAGACTGTCCCCCGCCCACAGATGGGGACTGGAAGCCAAAGAGCCCAACCACTCATGAATTTAACTGGCCATGGAGTAGGGAGCCCGTCCCAGGGCTGTCCGCAAGGCCAGGGTCCCTGCTACCGGGCTGAGTCTGGATACCCGAAGTGCTCCCCTCAGAGTCCTCGGTGCTCTCAGTGTGGCGTTTGTCTCTTTGCCCTCCTTTCCCTGTGTTGTCTCGGGCACACGTCCTGCCTTCAGCTGGCCTCATCCACGGTGAAGCCATACACTGGGTGGGGGTCAGGAGCCAGGAACCGGTGCGGATGAGCGGGCGTCTGACAGGCAGGCCCAGCCAGGGCGGCGCTGGGGGACCTTCTCCCTGAGACGAGTGCTCACGAGATTTCACCAGTGATTTTCATGTGGTTTTGTTTTTCAAGCACTGAACCCATTATCAACAAAAATCTCACCCCGAATCTCAACATTTAGAGCTCAGAGGTGGAGCTGTGAGGACAGGATGGAGGGTCAGTCCGGTTTGGAGTCAGAAGGGTGTCAGGGCTGGCACAAGAGTACATCCCTGTGGCAGACCGCAGGTCTCTGATGCTGGTGGACGTCATTTAGGAGCAGCTTACACTCAGGCTCTGCTCTGGGCCCCGTGACTCCCACAGATCTGGCCATGTATTAGAAGGACTCTCAGGACTCAGTCACTTGTGCCCAGTTATGCTTTATTAGAGCAAAAGGACCAAGCCGAGTCCCTTGGGGTACGAGGATGCGTTGGATGGAGTCTGGAGGACTCGACTTGGGCTTCTGCCGTAGGTGCAGAGTGCTTCTACCCCGGGAGTTCTGAAACTGACAGTCACCCCACAGGAAGGCAGAAAGAATGAAACCAGAGGTGGAGGGAGCAGGCGGGGAGAGCAAGGGCACGTGGAGGAACTAAGATGTGCTGCGGACATGTACCAGCTGCCCACAGTGCATGGACAGGACGTTCTGGGCTTGTGGATGAGTTATGTTCCGGGAGAATGTTCATCAGTTCAATTCCTTCATGTCCGACAAAGTGACTCTTACACAGTACACCTGTGAAAGTTTGCAACTCAGACGTTCGTAAGTTGGGGACTTTACTGGATCATTAAGTACTGAACATGTACTAACAGAAGAAAAGACAGGGAGCCAGAGAGAAAACAAAGAGGAAAACAGGCTTAGGCCCTAGCATATCAATAATTGTGCTATGTATAAATGTATGAAATAAACAGTCGAAGCCCAGTGTAGTGGCACACCTGTAACCCCAGCACTCTGGGAAGCTGAGGCAGGGGGGGTCACAAGTGTGACACCAGAGTGAATGACTTAGTAAAACCCTGACTCAAAATAAAAAAGGGCTGGTTATGTAACTCAGTGTGAAGACTCTGAGGTCAGTCTGAAGTACTGTGACAGACAGATAGATGGAATCTAAATACAGTTAAGTGACAGAGGATGGCAGAATGGATTTAAAAATATGACTCAACTACATGGTTCAAGAAACTCAGTTCATTTAATGATTCAGGTAGGTGAATAGTGAAAGAATGGAAAAAACTATGTAAGAATTCATATTATTACCAAGGACATTAAAGAGTCAAACCACCAACAACACAGCAATTCTAAGTTCTTTTTTTTTTTGGTACTGGGGATCAAACTCTCTGCACTGAACACAAAACCTGACAGACACAAGAGGATGAACGAACATTTCCACCTGAGGACTCGGCTCTCCTCTCAGTAGCTGACAGGAACAGAGTCAGCACCAGGAGAGAAGACCTGAACTGTCTGTTATTTACCAGGAGGGTCTGACTGACATGCAGCCAGCACCCCCGACACAGCAACTACACAGTGTTTCCAGATGGCCACGAACATTCACCAGACGGTCCATATCCTGGGCCACAAAAGAGGCGTTAGCAAAACAGAACTGAAATCATACAGTGTGTTGCCTAACCACGGTGAACTCAAACTAGAAATCACTTAACAAAAGAAAGATAAAGAAAATCTCCAAACACTTGAAAATTAGCACACTTCTACTTAAATCATGGTCAAAGAGGCAGTCTGAAGGGAATTTAAAAATTCAGTCAACTGAATGAAAATACAAAATAACATGAAAACGTTTGGGATGTTGCTAAAGAAGTACGGAGAGGGAAATTCTCAACCCTGAATGCTGACTTCAGTGTCTCCCTGTGCTCTGTACTTGCATCTGTGGCAGAGCTCAGTGGTCCCCTCCCACGCCAAAAGCTTGCATCACCCTTCTCTGCCTCCTTCTCTGGGGGGTGCTCTCCCCAGCCCCCGGGCATGCAGCTCTACTCCGGGTTCCATTGCCCCATCAGGATCTGTTTCAGCAAGTTTGCTCTTCCTAGCAGGTTGGAGACTTCCATGCTTGCAAGGGCAGCGTATTTCACAAAGAAGCCGGTGGCTCTCTCTCGCGGAGGGTGTTGTGTTGCATGCCTCTTGCCAGTGCCTTTCATGTGCCTGTGTGCATGTGTGCATGTGTGCATGGAGGCTCTGTGTGAAACTCTGACCTTGTCCTCCAGGCTCTGAACCTGGCCTACTCCAGCATCTATGGCAGCTACCGGAACTTCGTGGGGCCACCTCACTTTCAAGTCATCTGCCGGCTGCTCGGCTATCAGGGCATCGCCGTGGTCATGGAGGAGCTTCTGAAGGTTGTCAAGAGCCTGGTGAGTTTCCCTGAAGGAGCTTCCTTCCTATGGCCTGAATTTCCCAGGGCAGAACCGCCAGAAGCTCTTCTCTGAACTATGAATCTTCAACAGATGAATGATTCCATTTAGTTTTAAACACTTCTGACACTTCGATTTCTCCCCCATTTTTCCTAATTCAAGAAAGTGGATCCACCATACCTTGACCTGAGGCAGGGGAATCCCTGAGCCCAGGGGTTTGGAGCCAGCCTGACCCTGTCCCTTAAAAAAGGAAAAAAAGAAAAGAAAATGAATCTAGGTTATTTTAACTTGATTCATAGAAGGTGTTTTAAATTACCAAAACAGTACCTTCCTTATGAGAGAGTATTATTCTTTTCACTGAGTATAGATTTTCATCTCTCCCACTATTCAACCGCTAGTCAAGAAAGAGCTTGAAACTGAATGTGTGGCCATCTGAATTGAGTAGGAATCTATCAAGGAAATGAGATGGCCGTGCACATACAGGAAGACAGAGGCTAAAAGAATTCTAAGAAGCTGATAAATCCACAACCGCACAGGTCAGGTCAAAGTTAATTAGAGCATAGATGAGTTTGGTCACTTGCACAGCCTCGATCCTGGGGCCTGCCAGGGCCCAGCGGAAGTTCTGCTCCCCGGTGTGTGCAGGCTGGACGAGGCTGAGATTCCTGTGCCATGGCCGAGCAGAAGGGGACTAGTGCAGCCCTGCAGCTCCACAGACCCATCAGAAGATCCAGGCACCGGCCTGCCCTGAGGACTGTGGTCCCGGGGCTGCAGAGCCATCAGCAGGGGAGGCGCACCATGGCCCCCAGCACTCCTGCCCGCTTCCTGCCCCCCTCAGGGCCCCGAGCCTCAGAGGGACACTGGTTTATGGCGTGAATTTGGTCACTGGCCTTTCCACAGTGGGGTCTCCTTCCCCTGCCAGAGCAGCGCTGTAGCCTGGTCATTATCAGGATTCTGCTAACAGAATGTTTTCACAGCACCTGCTGGCTGCAGCCTCCAGGAGGATGGAGGCCGTGGCCCATGCAGCCTGTCTCCCCAGCTCCAGGGCACGATCCTGCAGTACGTGAAGACGCTGATGGAGGTGATGCCCAAGATCTGCCGCCTGCCCCGCCATGAGTACGGCTCTCCCGGTGAGTGTGAGGGCTTGGGCTGCGGAGCGCACAACGGTGTGCACAGGGGAAGGAGAGGTCAGGCCTTAGGCCACAGCGAAGGACCTGCACTGGACATTATTGGGAAGAACTTGCTTTGCCTTCCCTGGGGAGGAGGTAACCGCCCAGCAGATGCACCCTTCTCCAACCAAGAAGCACGTGGGCGCGAAGGCACAACAGGCCCCTGCTGCCGGTGGAGGCTGTGCGCTAGGCGTCGAGGATGTCAGGGCTCTGGACACTGCTTCCCACAGACCCCTGCCAAAGAGCATGGGGCGCCTGACTACTGGGTCCTGCTGCCCGGTGGGGTGTAGGGACCTGAGCCTGTGAGGCAGCCCCCTTCTCCTGTCTGTCAGACAGATGTCCCCCTGGCTTCGGCCTGCAGCCAGAAGGCTCAGAAGGCTCTCAGGCAGATGCGTCAGCTGTGTGAACACGCACACGAATTGCTGCTGTTGGGCTATCTAGATAAGCGGCTTCAGTGATTCCAGAAAGCACTGTTTCACGATAAGACCGAGTGGGAGGAAGCTTTGTCAGTCAGGGCTGGGTCTGGTCTCTCGCAGGACAGTCCTCTGAGTGTCGTAGAGGTGGACACTCGCCTTGTCCTGAGGGACTTGAGCCTCCATGTGCGTGACGGTGGGAGGCCTGGGCACCGGCCCCAGCTCACAACTGCTGTTGTTGTCTGAGGGAGCAGTGAGGGGCCACTCTGCCACCATGCAGAGAAATTAGTGTGCCTGTGGCCAGTCCTGTGTAGAAGAATCTGATCTCAGCTTGTCAGAAAGTAAATGAATAATGCTGGGAACCTAAAACAGCTGGAGATGGGAGTTGTGGATGCCGCAGAGGAACCCATGTGGGTGCACTACAGCGCAGGAAACGCTGCCCCGCCTGTGAGGGGTCATCACCCGGCAGTGGCGCTGCTGGCAACTGGCACGTGCCAAGCAGCAGGAGCAGGGCCCAGGCCATGGTGAGGAAGGGGCTTTCTCAGGCGCTTGGGTTGGCAGGCCCTCGTGGAGTGGCCCTCAGGGCCTGACCTGGGAATGAGGCGATTCACTGTAGTGAGTTTCCTGTCCAACTTCCTCCTCTCCGGGTAATCGGGGTCTGAGTCTTCCGCCTTACCATGTGCATTTCAGAATCGGGCTGTGCCTTCTGCCTGGGTTCGCACTGGATGTACAGATCAGATTAGGACTCTTGATTTCTTTCCAGTCTTCATGGCTACATTGTTGCGTGCTGAGTTCCACTGTCCAGGCATCTCAGTAAAGCCCTGGCCTTGCTCTGGAACCCAGGGAGAGTGCAGCTTTCCCAACGGTGATGTTAGCTGCAGTTTGGAGTCCACCCTTGAGCAGATGAGTGTTCGCGCTTCAGTGCCTTGTGAGGGGTACTGCACCTGGCAGACGCCTGTCTCCTCTGGGGGAGGAGATGGCGTGCTCTCTCCTGTACTCTTGTATTGTGGCGGTAATTCCTGTCATCATTGCCTCTTCTGAAGGGGCGGGGTTGGTAGGGAAAGGGGTGCCCATCAAAGCCTGGGCACAGGACCATGCGGTCAGCGGCAGACTGGATGCTGTGCCGTTCCCGTTGACGCTCCATGTACAGCTGCCATGGAACCAGGATGCTGGGGTACTGCCCCTCCAGCCTCCACCGACTCCCCACCTGCTTCCGCCCCTCAGGCATCTTGGAATTCTTCCATCACCAGCTGAAGGACATCGTGGAGTACGCGGAGCTGAAGACTGTGTGCTTCCAGAACCTGCGGGAGGTGGGCAATGCAGTGCTCTTCTGTTTGCTGATCGAGCAGAGCCTGGTGAGTCCTTGGGCCACTGCCCCGCCGTGCTGGGCTGGCTCCCGCCAGGGCCCCGGAGGCATCTTGATGGGGAAGTTTTTGTGGGGCATCGAGGAGCAGTGCTGTAAAACACCGTTCTTTTTTTCACAGCTACTTATTTGAAATTTGTTCTTTGGATTTGAAAGACAAAAACGTAATATGCATTGTTTCAAGGTTTTTCTCACCTACCCAGTGAGAGTGTTGCTATGTTGCTGCTTAAAGCATCTGTCTTCTCGGCCTTGATGGCTTTGGCAGGGCAGAGCTGTGCTTGGGAACACACTTCAGAGCATAGCCGCAAGGCTGCCAGGCTGCTAGGGTCCTTGCTGTGAGAGACGATGTGCTCACTCTGGGAGTCCAAGGCCAGATGCAGACATATCTGGGCGTCAACAGCCTCCAGGGGACGTGACGTCCCCTTCCTGCCGTTCCCCTAGAGTTTCCCACATAGTGAGTGCAAAAGGAAACTGCAGCAGTGGCCTTACACTCCCCCTTGGCCTCGTCACCTGCTCACCCGGGGCCCCAAGTGCCACCCTGCCCACGACAGCACACTGCCATCATCCCTGCCCGTCGACAGACTACTCAGTATTTTTCACTAAATGGCAAGAGTGTCTTCAGCAGTGGGTTTCTCAGCACTTCGTAATGTGGCTTCCCTTTCTCCGTGCAGTCTTTAGAAGAAGTATGTGACCTGCTGCATGCGGCCCCTTTCCAGAATATCCTGCCACGAGTCCACGTGAAAGGTGAGCCTGGGTCTCGGCCCTGGAGTCCAGACAGCCCACTGCACAGTGCTGCTTGCGCGGGCGTATGTGTTTGACACTCGTCACAGCGGGGCTAAGTGGATGGATGTGTGGATGTAACGTAGTTAAATGGATAACGACAGTGAAACGTCTATGTGGAGATGATGTCTAGGGTCTGCTTCAGAACGGCAGGGGAGTGTGGAAGGTGAGTTGATGGTTGTCCCAGCAGGTGAGCGGTTAAGAACCTCACTGTACTCTTCTGCTGCAGCTCATATTTGAAATTTTCAGTAAGCTTAAAAAATGAATATTTAGCAAAATCAGTTCTGTTGGGCTTTGTTGTTTGTGCTCTTTTCAGTTTATTGCATGGGGGAATTACACCAGTCCCAGTTGAAAGTACAGCCTAAATGGAAACATTCCACAAGCAAATCTGTCAGTTTGAATTAAAATATCAAATGAGATAGTACTGCAGAACTTCTTTCCAAAGAATCTTTATCCACATTAACAATCTTTTATGACTATTTCTTCCTGCAAAGAAGGAAAATATAATAAAGTATTTTTCCCCTGCAGAGGGGGAGAGGCTCGATGCCAAGATGAAGAGGCTGGAAGCCAAGTACGCCCCACTGCATCTGGTCCCACTCATCGAGAGGCTGGGGACCCCACAGGTACAGTGGGTGTGGCCACCCAGAGCTGCAGTGTGGTGAGGGGTCAGATGGGCATCCGTCCCCAGCCCTCTGGGGAATGCACAGGACACTGTAGATGAGCGGTACAGACTCACACAATAAATGTCCATCCCTTTGCAAAGGCTTTTTCAGAGGGTTTCTTTTACAACAGAAGAAAGTGGACAGAGGCCTCGGGGCAGTCTGATTCTGTGCCTGCTTATACTGCATCCCTGTCAGTCGACCTCTGCATGCTTGCCATCTTGAGCCAGATGGTTCTTTGTTGGGGCATCCTGTGCACTGCAGGGTGTCTAGTGGTACCCCAATTGCTGCCTGTTACATGCCAGTAGACCCAACCACACTGTGGAGACCAAAAATGTCTCCACACATTGCCAAATGTGCCCCAGAGGCAAAGTCACTAGCAGTTCAGCACAGCTGTTGATATCCCTTGACTATGAACCAGTCAGTCTCACAGGATATGTAATTTTATGTATATATATGTAAATAACATATATATAAATATGTATATATAAAATTACTGAAGCTTGTTTTGTTGCTGCTTGCTTCCAAACATCTTCTTCTAGCAGCTAATTATTTTGGCATTCATAAACAATACCATTCATTCGTGGTTGTGCTTTCTGCAGCAAATTGCAATTGCAAGGGAAGGGGACTTGCTGACGAAAGAGCGCCTCTGCTGTGGCCTGTCTATGTTCGAGGTCATCTTGACACGGATCCGGACCTTCCTGGACGACCCCATCTGGCGTGGGCCTCTGCCCAGCAATGGGGTCATGCATGTGGATGAGTGTGTGGAGTTCCACAGGCTGTGGAGTGCCATGCAGTTTGTTTACTGCATTCCCGTGGGGACACATGAGTTCACGGTAGAGTAAGTATGCTCTGTGTGGTGCTCTTCCAGAGGCAGTGGGGAGCTGGCGGGGGAGGTGAAGGCAGTAGTGAGAGGTCTGGAAAGGGATCAGACATACACGGAGCTGCGTCAGTGCCACTGAAGCGAGCCTTCTTTCTTGATGCCAGAGACTGGACCCAGGACTAGCATCCATGGGCCCTGAACACATGGGAACTGAAGACAAACCGGACTGTGTATTTCTGGGTGGCAGGTCCTTAACATCATTCCTCCTTGAGGGTCTGGCAAAGGTTAGGAAACAGCATGCCAGAGTTCAGAAACTATCTTTATGGAAACCCGGAAATCACCAGCTGCTCAGGATCATGCTCCTGGCTGTGGACAGTGACTGAGCAGTGAGATGCAGGCAGCCTAGTGGGCAGGGCCTGGAGTGCCTGTGGCCTAGTTTCCGTGTCTCTCGGTAATGACTGCTCTGCTCTTGCTCTTAGGCAGTGTTTTGGCGATGGGCTGCACTGGGCCGGCTGCATGATCATTGTGCTGCTTGGGCAGCAGCGGCGCTTTGCGGTGCTGGATTTCTGCTACCACCTCCTCAAAGTGCAGAAGCATGATGGAAAGGATGAGATTATCAAAAATGTGGTATGTGGACAAAGACTTTCCAGAAGCCTCCTTTCTGTTGAGTTTTTTGGGATGAGGTTTCACCAACTGAAACTTTCTTTCCAAAAGTGAACCTAAATATAAGTGGCATGCAACAAAGTTTGGCAGATTTAAAAAACAAAACACTACCATTTTCCTTCTCTGACTTCTCTCATCCGCAGGATCTGCACCTTCAGATTATTGGTATACGCATCCACTCTTCTCTGTACAACTCAAAATTTGTTTTAACTGCCTTTGTCATTTTATGGAATTCCTTACAGTTGAATTCTAGAAAATATTGCTCCTTGTAGTTAGAAATGATCTTTTCAAATATTGTAGCCTGTCTTCTGTTCTCTTTGTCTGGGACTGAGAGTAGACATGTCACCCCTCCTTACTGTTGCATACCCTGCTGTTAGCTCTCTTCCTAGCGTAGCATCAGCGCAGGTCACCATTAATCTCAACACACCCAGGTCAGCATGGTCCCCGGACCTCCACTCACCTCACACAGCTATTTGGTGTGGTGTCGGACCTCCTTTTTTTCTGCGAGGCAGGTGGCTGACTTCAGATCCTTGTACTTGTAGGAACACGGTCCCCATCTGCTGGCTGCCAGCCCATCTCAGCTTCCGGCATGCCCTGTTGCCATGGCCTTTCTGCCTCTAGCTCACGTAATGGGATAGGGTCTGGCTGGCTGACCAGGAGGCTCCATTTGTCTTCAGGTCCATAACCACAGCACAGGTTCCAAGCCTGTTTTGTGAGGCAGAGGAACAGGTGTGGGTGTCCAAGGGCTCCTGCAGTCACACGTCATTTTCTTGGCTCTGCCAAGTGCTGAGTTCTTATGTGTCTTTCAGGTAACTTACTTGAGCTGTAGCTGATCTGCTGAGTTTCTACCTCCAAAAGTTCTATGTTCCTTTTTCTCAAGTTCAATTTAGTTCTTCCAATCTTGGTTGAAATTGATAAATCTTTTAATTCTATAAAAAGAACTTAATTCATCTGATTTCCCTAAAATTTGCATTGGCTCCTGCTCATTCCCAGGGGCTGGTGCCAACCTGGGACCACATTAGCCTAATTAAAGGGTGCTAGCTTCATGTGCTTTCAGGGGTGCTCCAGTCTGCTCACAGCCCAGGCTGTCTCACCCCAATGATGCTGTTTTCTGCCTTACCACCTTTTTTTCTGGTATTGGGGATCGAGCTCAAGACCTTGCGCTTGCAAGGCAGGCACGGTGCCACTGAGCTAAATCCCCGGGCCCTGCTTTACCACCTTTGTGAGTACAACCACTAGTGCCTGTACAACTTTGTTGGGTTTTTTTGGTACTAGGGATTGAACTTGGGACCTTGTGCTTTCTAGGCAGGCGGCGGAACCACTGAGCTAAATCCCCGGCCCAAAAGTTTGTGTTTTAATGTTGTTATTCTCTGTCCAGATCAATCATAACAGGAAGGTCGGTGAAGTCTAGAACTCGTCTTCCTCTTCATAGTTCCAACTTTTACCATACAGTGGGTTCTTAGTACATGTTTATATTGAATCAATATACTTCTGAAGTTTTGCAGAGCTACACATGGCAGCATGAAACCAACAGAAATGCATTTAAACTGAAAGTATATTCATTGTTGCAGTAATGGCATTTAAAATATAGTATGTGTTTCAGTATAGTTTGCTGTAATTTTTCTGAGAAAATATGACAATCCCAATATTGAGTTAGAAAAAAGTGCCCGTTACAAGGGTTAATAATAAAATGGCTTGATCTCAACTGTTGTAGCCTTTGAAGAAGATGGTGGAGAGGATTCGCAAGTTCCAGATCCTCAATGATGAGATCATCACCATCCTGGACAAGTACCTGAAGTCGGGCGATGGGGAAAGCACCCCGGTGGAGCATGTGCGCTGCTTCCAGCCACCCATCCACCAGTCTCTGGCCAGCAGCTGAGGTGCAGGGCGGCCGCCAACACGGCAGCTCCCAGTGCAGTTCTCGCTGTAAGTGCCTAGCGAGATTTTTAGGGACTATTTTTCAGTACCTCTACACTTGTTCAAGGGGGGGGTACCTTTTGATCTAAAAGCTTAATTTTATAAAATTGACTTATTTTTCTAGACTAAAATTGTATATGCTTTTGGTAATTAGGAAGTCGCCATCATGCTCTTACAGAACCACTTTCAGGTTTGCTGGAGTGTCCCAGCAGCTGGCCACGCAATGTAACACTGCCTAGCTCATTCATTTTTCCCTTAATAAACTTAGTAATTGCTAATTGTATCAAATCCTACCCCAATTGCCATTAAACTTCATGACTAGTTAGCTGTAGTTTAGGGAGTTTTCTGGTGTTCTTTTATGAACAATCTTTTCTAAGTCATTCTCCTTTTTTTGTGCTGGTGTTTTGAAAGATAGTGAACTCGATTCTTCAGTTTCCACTAAATCCAAATATGAAATCTAGGAGTACAGCTTAGAGAAATAAAACTAATGAAATCTATTCCTGTGCATTCATTTACTGCCTGTCCTAGCTGGCATGGGCAGGTGCTCTCTCCTAGTTCCAACGGCTTCTGGCCACCTCCAGGATGTGGACAAGGGACAGGACCATGACACCCTTGAAACACTACCCGCCTCACCAGCACAAACATCTGACTTACATGCAGATCAGCAAGATGGAAGAAACGCGTGTGGCTGCTCCATGTTGGCTGTGAAAGACGCTAAGCACCTCTGACCTGGAAGCTGGCAGTGTGGGAAGGCTGACCTGGGACACTAAGCACTGCACACGAGGAACGGAGGAGACCGCGAGTCCTGTCCTGGCATCCCCGGCTCTCCCTCCCCACTGCTAGGTGACCTGTCGCAGGTGGCTGGAATTGCCCCTATGTCAAGTCTAAGACTAGTTTGGTCTACTTACCAGAATTATGGAAATGGATAAAAGTGGCTAAGAACTGAGCCAGGTACAGTTGGTATAGTGTAGTCCCAGCTACTCTGGAAGCTGAGATGGAAGGATCAAGGCCATCCAGGACATCATGAGACTGTCTCAAAAAAAGGAAAGAAACTGCACTACTGGGCTAGGGAACACTGAAGTGCAGGAGCTCCAAGCACCGTAAAACAGGGCAACGAGCCGCTGTGCCATACTGCTAACCCGAGTTACATGACCTTTAACAGACAGAACTATTACTTATAAAAAGCAACCTAAGGATGACTGGTGACAGGAACTAATAACCCTGGGGCCAGTGTTCTGCTACAGATGAGGAGTGGCGCCTGCTTACCCTATGCAGTACAGGGCAGAAGTTAGTTATTTGCAAACCTGGGGCCTTGTGCTTGCCAGGCAGGCACAGCCCCACCGAGCTACATCCCCAGCCAAAAGTTCTTTAACTAATGAAAATGTAGCAAGTCGTTCTGTACAGGATTCCTAGTGCTGTGAAATGGTAGATAATAAAGAATCTGTTAGCATCAGTTACGGATTCTCTGCGAGGGCACTGCCATCCCCAAGGGAGTGAAACCTGGTCTTCTACACAGGCCGGAGCAGACATGGTGCCTAAGCCTAAGCAGAGAAGTGTGCGCCTGCAGTGTGCAGTGCACAGAGGGCCGGGTGGAACTCAGTGCCAGTGTGCTCACCTGGCGCGTGGAAGGCGCACACTGAGCCTCAGCACCAAATCAGTTTTTAAAACTTATACTGCAGGGTGCTGGCTGAGAAAGTCTGACAGACTCCTTGGAGCACCAATGCTAGCTGGAAAAAGATTTTATGAGATCTGGGCCAGTGTGTCGTGTCCACTCTCCGCCCCCCGCCCAGAGGCCAGTACCGAGTGGCAGGCCAGCCACTGTAGTCTTGGGGGGAGAGCAGCAGGGGCAGTGACAGGCCCAAGCCTCTGCTCTTGCTGCCACCCGGGGCAGGACATTTTAAAGGCCAATGAACAGCAGCTATAAGTAGATAGGTTTTGAAGATGGGATAGGGTTTGTTACACGTTTGTAATTTCCCATAGCATGTTTTCATGAACATTTTCTAAAAGTCCAAAATATATGATGTCCCAATGAACTCTTAAGTAAGGACCTGGCACAGAGACCATACTTTATAGACTTTAGCATTCGGACTGTCTAAAAGAAATTTGTTGAACTCTTTATTATAACACCGGTTAAATTTATGAAATCACCCCAGTCTCCTGATTTTATTTCCCAGTTGTTAAAAGGTCTAAATGACACTGTAATTCATATGAAAATATACTCCAAAGGACAAGAATTGATGTAAAATGGCAATGAAGGTTCTAGGCACCATGGGATTCACCTGATCAAGGAATAAAATAAACTTACCCTGAGAGTAAGGTGGGGCCAGACTGCTGAGCAGACCATACTGGTTTAGAGAGCTGCTAAGGAGGCCTCAGATGCACACAGGAAACATGAAACCAGATGCGCAGGAACAAGTCACAGCCAGAGAAATGCTTCCTCCACATGATTCCCTAACCTGGTAGAGATCAAACTCAGGGCCCTTGTGCCTTTCAGGTCCTTGCGTTTGCAGGGCAGGTGGAGGAACCACTGAGCTAAATTCCTGGCCCTCTAACCTTTTGTTTTGTAAAAGACTTTCATTTTAAAATCGAGGATTCCTAAGCCAGGCGTGGTGATGCATGCCTGTGATCCCAGTGCCCAGGAGATAGGATTGCCACTAGTTTGAGGCCTGCCTGGGCCACATAGTGAGTTCAAAGCCATCCTGAACTGTAGAGCGAGACCCTGTCTCAAAAAAATAAATAAAAACTGAGAATTCCCTTAAGCTAATACTTCAAAATTAAAATAATTCATCAAACAGGAGTCAATTTTACAGGTAAGGTAAATCAATCATAATGTATTGGGATAATTTTGTTCTTTTTTACAGTCAAAAAGCCTTATGTGGCCAGAGATCAATGGAATGGGGATGACAAATGTACATTTCAGACCTACATCACCAATGAAAAAATAAAGCATTTTATAGACTTAAAACTGCCATTAGTGCATTTAGATTTTGGAGAAAGAATCAAAATGTAAAATACCTCTACAATAATACAATGTTAATAGAAATTGGCCATGTACTAAGGTCATTTTAGTAAGCTACCATTGTTTAAATATAAGAAAAGTAATTTCTTGGTGAAAATTAGTGAAACCTTAAAAAAGATTGTCTTTAGAGAACATAATGCTTTTTCAGACACATTCTGATATTCAAAATCTGTGTTGTAACAGAGCTACTGATTAACCCTTTAATCACACCTTTCTTAAAAAGCTGTCAGGCTTCCATTTCTCCGGGAGACATTCTCACCAGCGTGTTGTTCAATTCCACAAGGTAAGCTTTCTTCATTATCATTCAGCACTTCATACATGTTAGAGAGACTGCCATTCACTGCTTTTTCATCTTTTCGAAAAGATATGGGCAGACTTGCTAGACTAAAGCTGACGTCTTTAAAGGCATGCAACAAAAATATCCCCACAATGATTGTGAAGAAGCCACTCAGAGTTCCAGTGACGTCATCCACAGGCATACCCTGCCACTCCTTAAAGAGAATAGCCGAGCAGGTTAAAACGGAGGTCGTGAAGAACACATAGTAGATGGGCGTCACGATGGACGTGTTGAATATGTCCAGCGCCCGGTTCAGGTAGTTGATCTGAATACTCACGCAGACCACCAGGCTCAGCAGCAGGACCCAGGCCAGTGGGAGCTGCAGCACAGGCCTGCCCGCCAGCAGCTCCTTGATGGCGATGCCCAGGCCCTTCACGCAGGAGACTGAGAACGCACCAATCACAGAACAGATGGTAATGTACACCAGGATGTTGGTCTGCCCGTGGCGAGGCCCCACCACGAAGATCAGTATCAAGGACACGATGACCACAAGTGTCGCAAAGACCACAAAGCCTGGAGGAAAGGAGTTGCCTGCATCAAACATTTGGTCAGATGTTCTCCTTAAACAGATGATCAAACAACAAAATATAATGAACTAGACAGGAAGTAGAAAAAGTATGCCCGTAAAAGAAAAAGCATCTTAGGGCTGGGAGTTTAGCTCAGGTGTTTCACCACCTGCTGCGCAAGTGCAAGGACCTGAGTTCAATCCCCGATACCAAAAAAGAAAAGAAAAGAAAAAGCATCTTCTCCTGCCATAGGAATCATGGCACAAGCATATAATCACAGTCCCTGGGAGCTGGAGGCAAGAGGACTGCTGTGAGCTTGAGGCCAGCCTGGGCTACATAGTTCGAGACCAGCCTGAACTGCCTACACAGCGAAACCCTATCTCAAAAAAAGAAGGAAAGAAATGCTGGGGAGGGTGAGGAAGGAAGATCTCCGCTGGAGCCAATCAAGGCAACTCAGCAAGGCCCAATCTGAAGGTAAAAAGAGCTGTGACTATAGCTCAGTGGCAAAGCACTTGCCAAGGACATGGCCCTGTTTCTGATCTCCACTATCACTGAACAAAACAAACGGAAGGCTGGGAGATAACCAAGGAAAGCTCCCAAAAGGCAGAGTCAAAACGCAAAATGGAGAAAATGAGAGGAAAACAAAGCAAGAAAATAAATGGGCTGGAGAAATGGCTCAGTGGTAAGAGTACTTGCCCAGCATACACAAGGCCCACACCAAAAAAGAAAAGACAGTCCCGTTCAGGAGGCCCACCGCACACAGTAAGGCCGGGCACAGCACAGGGGTGCTGCCTGCCATCCCAGCAGTCCGGGAGGCCAAGGCAGGAGGATCGCAAGTTCCAGCCCAGCACGAGCAACTTCGCGACTTAGCAAGGCCCTGGCCTGGGCTTAGTGCCCAGTACCACAAGCAAAAACAGAACAAAATAAAAATTCAACTCTGTTCCCCAGAGTTAAGATATCAATTTGCAGGTTTAAAATACTGAACAAGTAGGGCCGGAGATGTAGCTCAGTGGTTCCGCTGCCTGCCTTGCAAGCACAAGGACCCAAGTTTGATTCCCAGTACCAAAAAAAGATATAAAAATACTGACCAAGTACCCAGTACAACAACAAAAGGACGCACATGTAGGCATGTCAGTAGGAAATTCTAGATACCAGTGACCGAAAACATCCCCAAATGCTTCCACAGTTAAAACATGGGTCACATATAACAAAACAATCAACTGCATTTATTTATTTTTTTTTTTTCTGGTACCGAGGACTGAACTCAGTACCTTGTGCTTATGAGGCAGACACAGTGCCACTGAGCGAAATCCCCGGCCCTGCATTTGATCTCTTAATAGCAACACAAAGTGAAGATACAATGGAAGTTATAGTAGGAAAAGAAATCACGGTATGGTTAAGACGAGAATACAGGGCCGGGGATTTTAAAAGCTCAGTGGTTTCGCCGCCTGCTGCACAAGTGCAAGGACCCGAGTTTGATCCCTGGTACCCAAAAAACCCAAACAAACAAAAAGATGAGAATACAAACTATATGACAAAAAAATGTACACAAGTACACAAACCTGAGTAGATGCAATAAGATACAGTAGATAATGACTAAATCCAAGGAAGCAGCAGCAACACGTGCATGTTATT